CCCTTTATTTTACGGAACCAGAGAGACCACTAGACCAGAGCAGTAGAGCACTACCTGCTCTTTTTTTTTGACGGTAGAACTTTAATTCCTCTTTCTTTTTTTTATAGATTATTTTATTAATCTAGTTTGGATCCTTGTTTATTATTGTATTACTGTTTTTGGACCATTGTTTATTCCTTTTTATTTGAGGATTTCAAAAACTATGTTTATTAGTTATTTATTTATTTTTCCAAACATGATTGTTATGATGTTACAAGTATTCCATTATTCTTTTTATGCTAATACATCATTGGATTGTTTTATGTTAATTAAGTACTCCATAGAATATTATTTTTAACATTTACATGCCTATATTTAATTTTTTAATTATATTTTGTTGACAAATCCTTGCCGTCCCCGCATCCTTAAATTTTTAAAAATGCCGATTCCCGAATCCGTCCCCGTCCCCGTATATGTACCCGCACCCGTCCCGGTGCAACCTAGCCTTTTGAACTGTGTAGGTGCCATTATTTTCTATCTCTCTGCTACTCAGTATATTTTATGTTGTTGGCTTCAGAGTTTAATACTCCCTCTGTCCCACAAAACATATCCCCTTTCCTTTTTCATCCGTCCTAAAAAATATTTCTCTTTCCCTCTTAAAAAATCACTTTTATCCCTATTAATTTTTAACATACCTATTATATCACACTTTTTCTCTATTAATCTACTCATCTCATCCTACTTTCCATCATATAAAAGGGTATTATTGGAAAGTCAACACCAAAATACACTCTCCTTAAATCCTTTAAAAGTCAAAATGAGAAGTTTTTAAGGGACGTACCCAATAACCCCTTCCTCTTTCTCTTTTTTCTTGTCCCACAAATTTTTTTTCTTTTTTTATTAGAAATTACGTTTGGCCTTACTAACTTTTAACATACCTATCACATCATACCTTTTTACTAATAATCTACAATCACATTCATTTTTACCCATCACATTAAGGATATTTTTGAAAAGTCAACACAAAAATATCACTACCTTAAATTTTTTAAAAGTCAAAATGGGAACATCTTTATGGAACATAGAAGTATATGATATAATCTATTGCATTATTAGGGGTGTAAATATTTATTAGGTGTGGGCGTGGTGGCCGGGTTGGTGTGAGAATAGTCTCCGAAAGAGATTGAAGATTTTAGAAGCCGTTTGTTTGGACAAATTGATATGAATGGACTGAATGAATTGCTATGATATTTAAAATTCGTGATTTAATCATTTTCTTATAATACTATTGTGTTAATTGTCATTTATATATAATTATTTACGTATATACTTTAAATTGTTAGAACATTAGGGATAAGAATAAGACTTTTAGGGCTTTTTTTGTCTCGACCCAGGCCGTTGAATTCCTAGGACCGGCCATGGGACTCCATTAGTAAAATTGATGGTTTCCCACCCTAGCACTCCTAATTTGGACAGTCCAAATCGGCAATCCAGGGAGGCGCTGGGGGTGGGGGTGCAAGGGGGAATGGTTAGCATAGGAATTATCAATTTTATCAACGGAGCACCGTACATGTGTTAAAGGAAAGAGAATATTTGGAGATATTTGTGTATATATTGTTTTGGTAGTTTTCCTTGTCTATGGATTCTTTCCTTTTCCTTTTCCTTTACTTATTAGGAGTCTCAACTTGTGAGATCATATATATATGTCCTCATTGTAAATTGTAAGGACAAGAGAGAAATACAGAGAATTTTCTCCCAAATAATTCTTTCATGGTATCGGAGCCAAAACCCTAGAGTTTTTCGGCGACTACTGTTCACGATCGCCCGGCATGGCGTCCATCGATCGTTGCTCAGTTTTAGTCGTTTGTTGTTGTTGCCGGACAATGAAACGGCGACCGTTGCTCTTGAACGGTCGAGCACGTCGACCGTCTCGTCGGAAGATTGTGTGATAGATGCTGCTGTTGATTCTTCTGCCACCGCCGTACGCCACTCTGCTATCGCCATGGCCGATGAACAACCAAGGAAGATGTTTTTCTCCCTATCATCGTGTGTTTCTAGTATGAAGCTTTCAGGTATTCCTGTGTCACCGCGTTGGATTATAGATACTAGGGCATCAAATCATATGACTGGTGATATTTCGTTATTGCATGACGTCGTGGGAATATCACCATGTGAGATTGGTTTGCCCAATGGGAAAAGAATTATTTCTGTACAATCTAGGAAGATTAAATTAACAGAAACATAACTTCTACACGATGTCCTATATGTTCCCACTTTGAGTTGCCATTTAATCTCTGTGTCACAATTGACAAGGGATTTGAACTATGAGGCACGTTTTGCCAACGATAAGTGTATACTACAGGATCTGTGTTTAAAGATAGAAATTGGTATGGGTGAGCAGGAAGGAGGACTTTATTACTTCAAGGAGCCAGAAAACAAGATGGTGTGCAGTGCGAAGAAGGAGAGTAAGTTTGATCTTTGGCACAAACGACTTGGACATCCTTCCTCTCATGTTTTGTCTCTTGTTCCTGGAGTTGGAACACAGTTGTTGTGACATTTGTTTGCGTGCTAAACAGACTCGTGGGAGTTTTCCTATAAGTTTTTATCAATCTGTTGATAAACTTGATATGATACACTATGATTTATGGGAACCATATAGGACTCCAAGTTTTGATGGTTCTACAATGTTCTTAACCATTGTGGATGATTTTTCAATAGGTGTTTGGGTACATTTGCTTGATTCCAAACCTAAGGTTGGCACTGTTTTTAAACAATTATGTGCTATGGTAGAACGACAATTTGGGAAGAAAATAAAGTGTGTTCGCAGTGATAATGGCACAAAATTTGAATGTCTAAACGAATATTTCCGGGAGCAAGGAATTATTCATGAAACGTCTTGTGTGTCTACTCCACAACAGAACGGGAGAGTAGAACGCAAGCACCGACACATTTTGAATGTGGGTCGAGCTTTGAGGTTTCAAGCTGGTCTTCCGATTGAGTTCTAGGGAGAGTGTATACAGACCGCCGCACATCTGATCAATCGCACACCTTCATCTTTGCTAGGGGGTCACACCATACAAGAAGATCTATGAAAACCCACCCTCTTTGGCTCATATTCGTGTTTTTGGATGTAGATGTTATGCTCATAACTTAAAGAGAAATGGAGATAAATTCGCACCAAGAAGCAAACCTGGAATATTTGTTGGATATCCACAAGGGAAGAAGGGATGGCGTATTTACTACCCGGACACTGGGAAATTAAGGTGTCCCGGGATGTTGTGTTCTGTGAAGATATTTTCCCTTTCTTGACTCCTATAGGTGCATCTCTTGATACAGGAAGTACAAATGAGGTTAGCTCTTATGATGAAGATGAAGAAACGTGGACGGAAGAACAGATGGACCGTTCCAGGAGGGACGGTGGACCAGAGGAAAGCGATAGAGCAGACAGGCTACAGACGATCGACCTGATGGACCGTTCGGATGTCCACGGTCGACCGTCCGAGAGGCAGAATGACGGGTTCCTAAGAGATGACCAAACGGTCGACCTGGTGGACCGTTATGATATCCACGGTCGATCATCCGTAAGGTAGAATGGCGTTTCTTTGGGAGATGATCAAACGGTCGACCGTCTCCGTGGCAAAAAGTTAGCGATCCGGAACAGCTTCAGACGGTCGACCCCGTGGACCGTTCCACGGACGGCGGTCGACCATCCTCTTCCCAGCAGGCGGTGGAGAACTTGGGACGTGGTCAACGTGAGAAACGTCCAAATGTACGCCTTGCTGATTATGTTACCCATGTAGCTGGTTCACATGTTGGTGAAAAATGCAAATATCCTCTTGCCTCGTATGTCACACACGAGAAGTTCTCTGACAGACACAAGTGTTTTCTGAGCGCACTTGATGCTGGAGTGGAGCCCACAAGTTTCAAGAAGGCATTCTAGGATGAACGATGGAGGAAGGCTATGAGAGAGGAGATTGATGCACTGGAGGCTAATGGGACGTGGTCTCTTGTCTCTCCTCCACGCCATAAAAAGCCCCTTGGTTGCAAATGGGGATATAAGATCAAGCGCAAGTCCGATGGAAGTGTAGAGAGATATAAGGCCAGACTTGTTATACTTGGCAATCATCAGATTGAAGGACTTGACTACAAAGAAACATTTGCTCCTGTAGTCAAGTTGACCACTGTGAGAACGCTTTTAGCAATTGCAGCAGTTAAGGGGTGGGAATTGCATCAGATGGATGTTCACAATGCATTTCTACACGGAGATCTTCAGGATGTGGTGTATATGAGATTGCCACCTGTTTCTCGAAATCGTCTAATGTGGTGTGCAAACTCAAGAAATCTTTGTATGGCTTAAAGCAAGCTCCAAGGTGTTGGTTTGCCAAGTTGTCTGGAGCCTTAAAACGCTATGGGTTTGTTCAATCTGTTGCTGATTACTCCTTATTTTCTTTTGTTGGAAAGAAAGGAGTCATACATGTTTTGGTTTATGTTGACGATTTGATTATTGTTAGAGATAATACAGAGATGGTAAGCAAGTTCAAATCCTATCTCAGAGATTGTTTTCATATGAAGGACTCGGGAACACTGAAATACTTTCTTGGCATTGAGGTGGCGAGGAGCACGTCCGAGATTTTTCTCTGCCAACAAAAGTATGCCTTAGACATCATCACTGAGGCGGGGTTGTTAGGTTCCAGGCTGTTGGGTGCCTCGATGGAGCCAAATCATCACTTGGCTCGTTCCCAAGCCCCGGTCCTTGCAGATCTAGAACCATATCGACGGTTGGTAGGAAGGTTGGTCTATCTCTCTGTTACACGAACGGAACTTTCTTACGCCTCCACACTTTAGCATAGTTTTTGAAGGAACCAAGGGAGGATCAGTGGTCTGCGGCCCTTAGAGTCGTTCGTTATTTGAAAGGATGTCCAGGTCAGGGCATTTTTCTGTCAGCAAAGAGTAGTCTTCAACTCACAGGATGGTGTGATTCGGACTGGGCAGCACCTTTGATGAGTTGGTCATTGACAGGGTGGTTTGTGCAGCTTGGAGACTCGCCTGTCTCATGGAAAACAAAGAAGCAATCGACGGTGGCTCGCTCGTCTGCTGAAGCAGAGTATAGAGCTTTGGCTGTCCTTACATGTGAGTTGAAGTGGTTGAAGAATGTTTTGCGGTGTTTAGGGGTTGAGCATAAGGACCCCATGACGGTTCGGTGTGACAGCACGACAACACTTCACATTGCTGCTAATCCGGTTTTCCACGAACGCACGAAGCACATTGAGATTGATTGTCACTTCGTTCGTGATGAGCTCTTGCGAGGAGAGATTCGTACACTTCATGTGCCTACTACGCATCAGCTTGCAGACATTCATACAAAGACACTCGGAAAGTCACGTTTGGAGTTTCTTCTTCCCAAGTTGGGCATTTCGTTACTACATGCTCCAACTTGAGGGGGTGTGTTAAAGGAAAGAGAATATTTGGTAGAATATTTGGAGATATTTGTGTATATATTGTTTTGGTAGTTTTCCTTGTATAGGGATTCTTTCCTTTTCCTTTTCCTTTACTTATTAGGAGTTTCAACTTGTGAGATCCTATATATGTTTTCATTGTAAATTGTAAGGACAAGAGAGAAATACAGAGAATTTCTTCCCAAATAATTTTTTCAACATGTCCGCTCATAATATGATCTGAGCACCTAGGTCAAAAGACCCTTGCCCACGGATAGAATAGGTCTTTCGACCTTGAAACCTTAAATCATACGGAGTATTATTATTACTATTACTATTATTATTACTAGTACTAGTACTAGTACTAGTACTACTAGTGTTGTTGTTGTTGTTGTTATTAGTATTAGTATTAGTAGTAGTCTACATCATACTACCATACGTATATCTTGACCTCATGGACCCCAACGAGGTATGGATCATAATGAGTTCGCTATTGTTTTTTGTGTTCTCTCTTGGCATGTCCGTTTTTTTCTTTTAATAATGAATCACAACCACAAAAATTTATTTTGTTTATCTATAAGCATATAAAATCAATGTGGGAAGCTAAGCAAGTTATAGGGAGGACTATTAAAAAATAATAATAATAATAATGGAACAAGACAAATATATGTATACTTACATGAGGCAAACTTGATATGCTTGTTCTAATGTAGGTGATGGGATTGCCCGCAATGGAGATCTCTTCTTGAGGGCCAATCACGTTCGAGATCGTGAACGTCGTGTTGCATAAGATCCGATAGTTGAAAAAGCTTGCAAACTACGCACATGCAGCGTAAACCCCATAGTTAAAAAAAATTTCAACCATACATTTTTACGGAGTATTTATTTTACTTGTAAACTCGATAGGTAAGTGTACCTTTACGCCGAGTAAGGACATAACACAATCCCCAATTTTGTAGGCGCAAAGGGCTTCCAAGGACAACTTTTTCTTGTCAATCATGGATTTAGCTCTCTTCACAAACTGGAGAGGGTCGTCATTGCCAGCATTGTGAAAGTAATGCAGAGGCAAGAGCATGAACCCAAATTTGTTACCCCACCCAGTGCCCGATTTACCGCTATTCATCAGCTTGGTAATATCCTGTTCAATTATTTCACCAGCCATGCATAATTGTGCATTGTGAATTATACCTATATTATTGCACGTACACATGCACCACAACAAGATGAAAAGTAAAGCCTAGCTAGGCCATGGGTAACATACATAAACCTGAAGTCCATGTTGTGGTCTTAAATTCACCATGGCAAGACCAGTGATCTGGAGGCCATCCTTCAAATCTACAAGGCACATACATATGTGGTTAATCATCACAACAATAATTACTACCTTCTTCGCGCTCTTGAGTATTTTGTCACTTTTATTTTTTTCCAGTCAAACCATTGATCGTTTGATTTATAATCAAATATATATTGTATATTAATTAGATAAAATAATATTATGAAAATATTTTATAAAATGAATGTAATAAAATTATTTTTGTATCGATATCTGATACTCAGTACAACTTTTATTTAATTTATGGTAAAAATTTATAAATTTTGATTGGAAAAAGTCAAAACTAGACTAGTGGAGTAATACTCAAGTGTGGAGGAAGTAGTAACTAAATCAAATTAATAAACTTTAAGGGGGTGTTTGGTTGGAGACTTGGAGGAAGTGATCTTAAAGTAAGAGCACTGGAAATACTCGTGAAGCCCCAAAGCTTCAAAATTTCGCTCTCTGCTACATTAGCTTTAACTTACCTCACAGATTCAGTGGAAATGGGTTTGAAGCCCCAGGGCTTCAAACCTTCATTTTTTTACATTTTTAAATATACATCTTCTAAATTTAAATTAATAAATTTTAATTAATTTATTATTTAAATTAATCAAAAGGAGACTAGTGCATTAAAAAATTACATTCATTAAAAAAATATTACATTCATAAAAGATTACATTCATAAAAAAAAGTTACATTCATTAAAAAATATTATATCCATAAAAAACAACACTACAAAGAAATTACTAATTATTCGAACGACTAAAAATATCTTCATTCAAATCCGAGTTGTAGTAACATATTGCAAACTGAATTAATTCATTAAATAAAAAATACAGTCAATAAAAAAAGTATGTTAAATTTTAAAAAAACAAAAAATTACATTACTAAAAAAAATTTTAACAAAAAATATTACATTAAACAACAAAATATAGAGTAAAAAAAATTATGTTTGTGCATGTTTTTTTAAAGACAAAATATAAAGATTTGAAGCTCGTTAAAGTTTTGAAGCACAAAAGATGAAGCCCATATGAAGCCCCAAGGGGACGGTGTTTGCTGCCCCTTTGGCGTTAAAAGGGACAATAACGCTCCGGGCGTTATGCCCATTACCAGTGCTCTAAGGGTGAGGATTAGAGTTCTTTTTAAAACCCTTCTAATCCTCGCTCTACTTTCCTCTTATTCCCTTACCATACAAACACACCCTGAGAGTCTGTTGATCTCTCATTTACCTTTGGATGAACGAATGGAGAGGTACTTGGAGAGCCCACACGCTATGATTCCAAAAAGAACATCATTGATGGTCTGCACCATTCTCCCATCATACCAAACTAATAAGAATCATTATATGTTCAATGCTTTAATTTATTCCTCTAATTTAACATACTTTTTTTTTGTAAACATTGATTTCAAATTCAATAAAAATGATACTAGATTTTAATACCAAAATACTCCCTCCGTCCCAAATTATTTGTCACATTTCTATTATCGAGTCAAACTGGATAAACTTTTTTGTTAGATTCATTATATTCCCTCCGTCCCAGAGTATTTGTCCAGTTTGACTTTTTCGAGTCAAACTGGACAAACTTTGAGCTTCAATTAAATAAAAACCGTAAAGTATTTTAATATAAAAATGACTTTATTGGATTTATTGTATTGAAAAATTTCAAAATTGTATTTCATTATACTAATATGTAATACAAATTGAGAGTAATTGGTGTTCAAAGTTTGTCCAGTTTGACTCGAAAAAGTCAAACTGGACAAATACTCTGGGACGGAGATAGTATGAAATATTTTCAAAATATTATTTTATCTAATCAAAATTAACGCATCGAAGAAGAGCACCCGAGTCATCATTAGTTCCCAATGTCATGGGAACCAAGGTGTTTTATTTAATGAACTCAAGCCAAGGGTGCTCTTCCTCGATGGGTTGAATTTTGAACCCCTGACCCATTGGGCGGGCCGGGACTCCCATTTCGGGCGTAAGAGCATTGGGCCGATTCCCCAACACACCCAAATGAAAAGAGTCAAGTCATAGTATGTCCTAAAGAAGTAAAATAAACAATGAACGCGGAAATGGGGCATGTGTGATTGGCTACTCCAATCTATAATAAGCTACCATAATAATATCTTCATCCATATGGAGAAGTGGGAAGTTGGAACATTTTCTTTCTTTTTTGAGACTCCATTCTTTTATGCAAACATTTATTTCGAACCGTCTCAATCTCAATTATCAACCACGGGAAAACAAGACGGGCCACAAAATCCGCAATGGTCGGTCGCTTTCTTTTTTTAATTGGAAATTACTTTTCCGGAGCATGCTACATGTACCACAAAATTTGTACCATATTTCTACGTACACCAACATTGTGATGGTTCACACTGACACGAAGTGTTGGTGCGTTAAAAAAAATTACACTGACACAAAGTGTTAGTGCGTTAACAAAAATTAGCATTAGACCAACACAAAATGTCGGTGCATCCTAGCATTAGAAAAATTAGCATTTGACCTCATCGATTTTTCTTTTTTCTCTGAATTCACAATGTCAATTTAAATTTTGACCTCTAGATAGAATTTACAATGCCGCATTACCACAATACGAACACCTGCGTTGAGGATAAAAAACATGGAATTCCTTATTTGGTATTTCCTTATATTTTATCCTTATTTAGAATGATTTCTTTAAGATTTACCTAAGATCACCACAAGGATCATAACTTTATTCTTTTGATATGTAAAAAAAGAGTTGGAAATAAATTAGTGGTATGTTTGGGAACGTGGATTTAGATTTCAAATCCGGATTTGGCTCAAATTTCATGTTTGGGAAACTTACAAATTTTGAATTTGAATTTGAATCAAATTCTTCTCATTCATAACAAAACTTAATTTTAAATCCATGCCCCTCCCCTTGCCATTTGAAATTCTAGATTTCAAATTTTGGAATTGAAATACATGAATTGAAATGAAATCCTAGTTGCCAAACACTACCTAGAAGAAGTTAGAAAAAATTGGAAAAATTAGAAAGAATAGGAAATAGTTGAAGAAGCTAGAAAAAGTTAGAAATATTAAAAGTTAATAGTTACACGGTAATTTATTATTATTACTTTTATTATTAAAAATTAATTGTTAGTTTTACCACTCTTTTCTATGAAAACACTAATTGTTATTTAGAAAAATAGCACTTATTATAAAAAACACTTATTATTAATACTTTTATTTATTTTAAACAATTATTTAGTGATTTTACTTCTATACTTTTTTATAAAAATACCACTATTTATTATTATTACTTTTGATTTTTTCGGTAAAAATTGATAAAAGTTAACCCTAAATTAAAAAATAATAATATTAGATATTGATACAAAAATAGTTTTATTAGAATTAATATATAAAATATTTTCAAAATATTACTTTATTGAATTAATAGAAAATATATGTTTTATTTAATTATAGGTCAAAAGTTAAAAACAGTTGATAGAAAAAAGTCAAAACCTGACATATGCTCCGAGATAGAGATAGTATTATTTATTTCCTATTATTTTCTTTATTATTATTAAAAATTAATTACGGAGTAGTAGTTTTAGTTCTCTATTTTTACGAAATACGGAGTAACAATCATTATTGTTTAGAAAATAGTATTAATTATTTAAAATAAAACTTATTATTATCATTGTAAAAATTTTTTTAGTAGTTTTACTACTATAATTTTTCGAAATCCAATGTCTTTCGCATTAGCCACGCATTAGTCATTGGTAATCGTCATTGGTAGTGGTGTCACGGTAAATCGAGAAAATAAGAGAACTTGAGAAAAGAATAAGATGAATAAAATATGAAGTAATAATAATAACTAGTGGTATTTTTATAAAAAAAGTATAGAAGTAAAATCACTAAATAATTGTTTAAAATAAATGACAGTATTAATAATAAGTGTTTTTTATAATAAGTGCTATTTTCTAAATAACAATTAGTATTTTTATAGAAAAGAGTGGTAAAACTAACAATTAATTTTTAATAATAATAGTAATAATAATAAATTAAAAAATTAATAATAATAATAATAATAGAATAAGAAAATAATAATTAATATGAAGTAATTATAATAATTAATAACAAATAATAATAATTATAATAGAAGAAGAATAAAAAACAAAACAAAAAGTAAAAGATGAAAAAAAACGGGGGTGGGGGGAAGAATGGACTGGAAGGCGAAAGAGAAAGAAGAAGAAAAGAAAAAAGAAGAAAAGAAGAAGAAGAAGAGGGGGAGGAGAAGAAAAAGAAGATAACGGAAGAAGGGATGCTAACGGAGAGAGTGACGGATTGTCACTCCGGAGTCAATTTTCGAATATCTTAAGGTAGCTCGGAGTATATTTTGAAAAACAATGGGACCTGTGAGTTATTATTACAAAATTAGGGGTACCCACCAACAATTTTTTTTGTTTAATTAACTACGGAGTATTAATTAAATCTAACATTAAAAAAAACTTAACAAATGGAAGGGTGACATTCCCGAAATAGCTTACCGCATCTGCGACCGCCTTCTTAACTGCTTTCATGTCATCAATGGTGAACTTGGCCGTAGCCAATTTTCGCGGCCAGAGCTCCACCCCAGCGCCGCCGCTAACGGCGGTGGTCCTATCCTTCAGCCACAGACTCCTCAGTATGAATTCCACCACATACGCCACCGTGTACCACACCACCATCGCCACCCTTATAATCCCCAACCTCTCCCGACGGCCCGGTCCGCCCCCGCCGAACGTCGGCGTCTGGCTGGGATCGCTCGTTTTCCGGCAGCACGAGAGGAACATTGACATGATCGAGATCCCGTCGCCGAGGGCGTGGTGAATCCGGAGAACGCCGCATCTGTGGGCCAGGAGGAGGTGAAATTCCCAGAGAGGCTTGTCCGCCGGGAGCGGCGAGGAGACGGAGAGGTCGGCGAGGTAGTCGTTGAGCGCGTCCTCGTCCGACACGGACGGGTCAACGGTCAGAGGGTCGGGGAGGACAACAAAGTGGTCGTCGAGGTTGACTTTTGTTCTCCGCCACCGCTCGCGGCCGTCCGGATCCTTGACCATCAGGCTGCAGAATCTGGGGTGTTTGACGAGCAGGGAGTCCCTGAACACCGACTTAACGGCGTCGACGTCGAGCGGGTTTTTTATGCCGGCGACCGCGTGTATAATTTGGTTCATCTCCGGCTGGAGAAACAGCCGGCCGGCAGGTGTCATCGGCTCGTCTCTCTCTTTAGAATCCATGTGTGTGAATTCGGTATGCATTTCAATAGCCTCCGACCATTAATTTATTTATATATAGCCAAATAGGGGCCGGGGAAATTAAAACTTCCCCAAAATTAATCAATTAATCGTTGCTATCAGTACTATTATTTCAGTATTTATTAGCTAAGCAGGAAGAATATTACTCCCTTCCTCCCAGAGTATTTGTCCACTTTCATTTTTGCACATCATCCAATGTACTTCTTTAATCCATTTTATCTTGTAATTTGTATATTAAAAAATTATAGAAATTATATATTAATAATCTATATGTTAAGACAAATCAAACAAGATCACACATGACTATATTTAGGCTTACACATTGAAAGAATGTGATAAGTCAAAGTGCTTAGATGAACAGTTCCAAAAGTCAAAACTGGACGAATATAGCGGGACGGAGGTAGTATGTATTAGCGGGAGATGACAACGTTTTATGATTAGATTTGTCAAAACATGGATCAAAGGTGATGCTATCTATCTATATTTAGGAGTTTAGAAACTACTCCCTATGTTTATATTACGCCTTTTTTTAAGAAACTTTGTCGTGTTAATTAGACTCTCTTTCATTAGTTGGTGAACTTCCTTTTCTTTAATTTATGGAAAATGCTAGAGTCACAAGCAAATAATTAATAAATTTCACAAATTTGCTTTTTGTGAATTTTAAATTAAAATATTTTTTATTATTTCAGTGTACATTATTTTTAGAAAACTATTAAAAAGCAAGTATGTGAATTTTGTAAGCTGTTTGTTTGTGAGTTTAGCATTACTCTAAGTTTATTTATTCTTATACTCCCTCCGTCCACAAATAAAGTTCCCATTGCGCGTTACGATTTTTGACTGAAATTATTTTCAAATCATTTTATATGAAAAATGGTATGAAATTAAAAAAATAAAATTACATATTTAAAAACTACATGAAAAGATCTACAAAACTAGTGGGGACATTACTATATTATTTTATCAAACAAGACACAAAAATAGGCCAACAAAGTGAATAAAGTTTGATCTTGTGAATAGTGAACGAGAACTTTATTGTTGGACGGACTGTCCTCTCTAGACAAAGTCTTTATGAATTTTTTCTGGGTACTTCACAAAAAGCCTCATACTAATGGGGTTGAGTAATCATATACTCCATCCGTTCCTTTAAACACTTCCTATTTTGACTTTGGATATAAATAAGGAAAGTGTAATTTTGGTTAAGTTCCAATTTTGCCCCTAATGTGATGGTAAAAGTAAGATGTGATAGTTTGGTTATTAGTGAAAAGTATGATATGATAGATAGGATATGAAAAAGTTGGATAAAATTGGTTTTTTAATAAAAAGTGAAAGTGTTTTAGAAAATAAAAAACGAAAGAGGACGAGTTTTATGGAACGGAGAGAGTACATTTTTGTTACCTTTCCCCTCTTCTTCCGGTGCGGGAGGAGCTTGCTACCCAACAAACCTTCCCTAAAACTAACGACCACACAACTTGTGACCTCCCCTTTAGCGATTGTTTATTTGATTTGTCTTGACTTTCTTCTCTTGGGAAGACTTTTAACACAAGGAATACCGCAGACGCCCAATCTGCTAGGGTCACACCATTTGATCTGTCAAATAATCTTATACCGCGGTTAACACAAAATGGGACACGTCACCCGACCACCACTTTCCAGGAAGACTTTCAACACAAGGCACGACTTGCATACCTATTGTCATTTTTTCACACCGGGCACACCGAGAATTCCGCACAACGCAATCCGTCACTCTTGCCCGCACGAACCTGGGCTCCGATACCACATGTTCGGACTGCGCGTGCCCTCACTCCAACCCCGCATTAGTATGATATTCTCCGTTTTTGGCCAAACCCTCACATATTTGTTTTGGACATCTCCCAAAAGGCCTCATACTAATGAGATGAAGTGTATATATATATATATATATATATATATATATATATATATATATATATATATATATATATATATATATATATATATATATATATATATATATATATATATATATATAAAAGTAACTTTTCTCCTCTTCTTCCGGTGTGGGAGGAGTTTGCTACCCAACAGTTAATTACTCGTATTAGAATCAAATCGGTCCAAACGAGACTAACCAGATCAAAAAATTCATAAGAAATCAAATAAAGTATTAAAAAAAGAGATTCATGCACTACAAAAAAAGAAGGCAGTACTGACACTCTTAGGGACATAAATCTTATTTGTTGCTAAAAAGAGAATATTACCTACAGATAAGTTATTTGAAGGCAAAAACTATTTGACCCACAGAAAAAGTAATATGTATCACTATTGGTTATAGTTTTAGCAACAAACTTTTATCTGTCCGCATTGCTTATAGTTTTTGAGACAAAACATTATCTATCATATTGTTTATAGTATTAGCACCAAAATATTTATCTATCAGTATTGTTTATAATATTAGCAAGCAAAATTTATCTATAAGTATTGTTTATAATTTTAGAAACAACGTTTTATCTGTCGGTATTGATTTTATTAACATTTAATTTAAATATCTTAATTATAAAAAACCATAATGTTTGAGCAAACCGCTAAAAATCTAATCGTTTGAATGTGGTTGTATTGGAACATAAAAGTTTAATTAAGGCAATACGATGAGACCTATATAAATCTAATTGTTCTCATTGCATGAAATATATAAAACCTATATAAATGTGTGATTTTTGAATATTTATAAATTTAGTAAACTAGCAAGAATTAGTCGCATTGCATGAAAGAGATGATTTCTCATCATGTTCAAAAAAATCGGAATACTTCAGAAGCAATAGAAAGATCACAAGGGTCAATGATGTCCCAAAAAAGGGGACATCTATTGATATTTCCTTTGGCCCTCTTTTGCTCCAAGAGATGTTTAGAATTATGTATGACATCAGCTCTTATTGAGAAGAGGTCGCTAAAGAACCTCAATTTAGCATGATAATTAATTAACAAAATGGTTCTTTTGACCTTGAAACCTCAGGTCATATTATATGACCCATGGAACCGATGGTGCTACATTAATAAAATTGATAGTTCAAACCTCCACCCCCAAACCCCATACATCCCACCATGGGGAGAATTTGGAAGGAATTAGGGCGTAAGAACCATAAATCTAATCAACGGAGCATCGCAGGTGCCCCGAGTCATAATGTGACCCGAGGGGGTCAAAATGTGACCCGAGGTTCACGTCAAAAGATCCTTGCTCATTAATTAATGGGCATTGCTTTATTTTGAACTCCTATGTTTTTCAGAAGATTTTGAACACAGCCGGCTCGGGTATAGAGCAATTAACATATTTCCACTAGTAAAAGGATTTGAATGAGATAAAATAAAGGGTATGAAAGAACAAAATCTAGCAAATGCCATCAAATCAAAGAATTTATAGCAAGACTTTGAAAGCTCACAACAAAGGGTTCATGCAGATTAGGAAACCGACTCATCCCAGCAGCAACACAAATTCAATGTATCATCAGAAAACAAGATAGTCTTTTTTGTTTTTCCCAAATTATGTTCCAAAGGTCCATAAAAAACTTAACTCAAGAAACGAGACCATCATTGAGCGACATAGAGGCCAGCTGATCAGCAGTGTTGTTGGCCTGTTGGTGAGAAACATTCCTGAGCACTTCCATTGCCTCTGCGACTTTGGCTTTAAGGGCATCTGGAGACTCAAGCAGATGGAGAACCTCTGTCTGATCCATTTCCAGAAGCATGCCAGTCACCTTGGCTGCTTGCACAGGCTCCAGCTGTTCCACAAGTGGGTATAAATTTTCCCCCAACATCTGTGAAATTTGAAATACAATTAGACTTATTTACTAACCGTAATTACATGGAACCCTACTTCGTAATAATATTAGATTTCCATCTGTGAATTGATCTCAAATCATGTTTCATAATTTGCATGATATCTTTACAATATAAATGTTGCATTGGACCGGCCATAGCACTCAACAAAAACTGCCAATCATCTAATGATATTCTATCCATGGAAGTGGACAATAAGATCACGATGGTTTTGAAATGCTCACTATTACTTTGTAAACAGGTTATCTGGCATAAGCCTTGCAATTACATTTTTGCATGAACATTAAATGACAATGAACGACTATTAATAGCAGGAAACTGCAGCCAAAATAAGTTGGGATTAATGACAATGGCCAAGGAGGACAAAATTATTGGGAATATGTGCTATTTTGATCTCAATTGATCGCTTAAGAGCATATAGGGTTGCGTCACAAAGAATGACAACATCAGCTTTCAGCAATTGACATAATTTATAATATACCCTAGCAATGTTATATACAGGCAGCGCTAAGGAAAATAGCAAAGGCATACCGTTCTTTGATCGGCAAGAGAAGCATTAGCAAGTGCAGTCGCTAAAGCTCCAATGGGCATTGGTTGAGCCATCCCTGAATCACGCATAGGCATGACCCCCATATCATAAGGGACAGAGTACATGCCCCCAGCTACTCCCGGGATAGAAACATCAGGAATACCACGCCCTGGAGGGTAACGATACCCACGTCCCCTGTGAATCATCTGCCATGCAGGAAAAATGGGAAGTAAATATGACAGATAATTCAGACAATAACCACTGAATAATATGAAGGTGCAAAGTGGAAACCTGCTGCTGCATCAGTGGAACAGATTGCTGCCCCTGCTGCAATGGACCAGAACCTCCACGTCTGCCAGAAGGACGCTGACCTTGCTGACCTTGTTGAACAAGTGGCACAAAGAAATTTGGCATAGGCCCCCCACCAGGCCTCATGCCAGGGACAAGCTGCTGCTGATACCCAAAACCAGGCTGACACATAGAACCAATAGATGAAAGCATTAACCACATACAAAGTCACAATGAGCTTATTTTCCACGACACAAGTATTATTTAAAAAGCAATAATACAGTCAGACTGTCAGACACATATCATTGTAGTACCCACAAACCAATGGTTATCTAGCTAGACTAAGAAATACTTCCAGTCCCAAAATAAAGTTTACACTTTGACTTCCCGAAGTTCAAGAAAAGTGTTGCAAAGTGAAAGGTGTGTGGTTGAACTTTATTTATAAAAGAAAAATTACAAGACCCATATATTCAGTTCCTAGAAGTAAGGTTCAGAAGTGTAAACATTGTAGTCAAACTCGCGATCCGAATCGTACTATTCCGCAGATCGTTGGGCTCTTTCTGATCTGAATCACGGCTAAAATTGCAATCCCTCTGAGAATCATACGGATCGGCGATTTGGTTCGTAAGAGTGCTGAATCGTGTAAGATTGCCAATCAAAAACAAAGAGAGATGGACATGCAGAAATTTGAAACGCTTGGTTTCGTCCCTTTGGTTTTTACGTCGAGACCGTTCCCAAGGATTGTTCCCTTTTTTTACGGCAAGACTCTGCGTTCTCCTCACAAAATTAAGGGTGTCAATTAGTCACTTTTGCCCGGGTATTATTTAAAGCTTTTTACGTATGTTTTTCTTTTCCTTTTATGCTTAACTCTATCCTAGTCTAGTGGGCAGTGATTTTTTTGGCCAAGTTTTTTTTAATTGTTACATTTCTCTTCATACTTTTTATAAAAAATTATCTACATCCCTTGTTTGTTTATATTGCGCCGTGGGCAGTAGTCAGTGAGCAGTGGCTTTCTTATCCGTGTGTCCCTTTCTCTTTATATAATACTCTGTATTTTATAAAAACAGAATCATAGTGGAAATTGGGCAGTGGGCAGTGGGCAGTGGGCAGTGAATTTCATATACCATACTATGTACTGGTATAATTTTTGTCCAACATATGGTTTGATAGTGTGTGTGTGTAGGATCTTACGATCTGAGTTACGATCTTTTTCAAGTACATAGAATCTCAAGTTTGACTACCATGAGCGTAAACTTCATTTTGGGACATCCAAAAGAGGAAGGTATAAACTTCATTTTGGGATGGCGGGAGCATTGTTCATTTAGTAAAAAATATGCAGCTGGAATTAGAAAAAACATGAGCTGATAAATATTATCATATATGAGCTTCAAAATAATACCACTTTTCTATGCATAGATAAAACCATAAACCAAAAAGAAAAATAACCTAAAAAGCAACTACAGTTATTCATGCATATATTTAAGAGTAGCAGATAGGCAGGCTGAGATCAAATCACGGAATTCATTCTACTTGGCATCAGAAATGATATGAAACAATACTTCGCGATGCAGAAGCAATTCTTAGTCATTTTCTATTAAACCTACAATTTGAATCACCAGAATCATAGTTTGTATTGTACCATGATACTTCTCGTATGTGTAAATAGAAAACTTTAATTCAAGAAATAAATTTTACTTGTGGAGGAAGTAGAGGTGGCTGGCCATAAAATATTTGTTGCCCTAATCCTGGACCACCCGGGGGATACATTGGCATGCGTGTACCAACTGAAGGTGAAATTGTAACTGGGCGCATCTGAGCAAACTGAGCCTGCATAGAAGAAATAATTTGACTTCTATTACCTGATGGCTGTCATAAATCATAATATTGGCTACAATACCTATTTGTTAATGATGGTAAAACAAATCTAAGTTACTCAAATTTGCCTAAATATATGGGGAAGAAGTATAGCCAAAACTACCTGTAACCTTGCACGCCTATCTTCTTTTCGCTGTGCAAGGGCAACATATAGAGGTTTTCCATTGATCATCTTACTATTCATATCAGCCAGCTGCAGAAAACAAACTATCAAAATTCTGAAGTAATTTTTAATGTAACTTTGAAGAAGCTTCAAGTGGCAAGCATACTGCTTTAGATGCCTCCTCAGAAGTCGAAAATGCAACAAAAGCTGATCCCTTGCTTACTCCATTAGGATCTCGCATGACCTATTTCGATAACACGTTGCAAATGAGGTATTCAGTAATCACATAATACAATACTGATTAGTTCATATAGTACACTTTCACGAGGAAAGGTAGGCAACAATGCAAACCTTGCATGAAGTTATTGTTCCAAATGCATAGAATAATTCTTTGAGTTTCTCATCATCAATAGTATCATCTAGATTTTTTATGTAGAGATTCAAACACTGTGATTTGTCAACCGCCTCCTTTGCAGTCTGTTCAAAACGATGTTTTAATTCAACCTCCCGATCAGATTTTTTCTGAGCTCTTCCAACAAACCATTCTTTGTTGTCAAATTTGTGTCCGTTAAGCGCTTCCACTGATTTAGCTGCCTCATCAGCATTCTCAAAGTTGACAAATCCAAAACATCTTGATTTTCCATCATCATCTCTCATTATAACTACACTAGTGAGGGTACCGAACTCACCAAAAATATTCCTGAGATCCTCTTCACTTGTAGACTCAGCCAAGTTCTTCACAAAGACATTAGTGAACTTTGTCTTTTCCCCATTCAAATCTCGTTCTTGCTTACGAACAAAACGTCCTACATACACTTGCTTGTCATTCAACAGCATGCCATTCAGCTTCTCAATAGCATTGAGTGCAGCTTCATCACTGTCATATTGCACAAAACCATACCCCTTGGACTGACCAGTGGCGTCAGTTGCCACCTTGCATGAGAGAATATTCCCAAATGCAGAAAAAGTATCATGCAGTGCCTTGTGGTCAATTGCCTTGTCCAAGTTCTAGAGAAAAAATATAGAGGAAAGGGTTAAATTTATACAAAACCCCAGCAAAGATCAACGGACTATTGAACATATGTACCTTAATAAATATGTTTCCAGCACCACTTTTACGTATGGTTGGATCTCGATGTGAATACATTATACGGATGGGCTTTCCATTTAGAGGAGTAAAGTTGAGCACCTTCATTGCTCTATCAGCTGTTAGAAACAGTGTTAATAGAGAAAAAAACTAAGGACCAATAGTGCCGAATGAAATCCCACTCCGCATTGATATATGTATATATATAAAGAAAACCCAAATCAGGGCATGAATCAGAATTCAGAATGCACAATTGTGCAAAGGCCTGGCCAGCACGACTTTAACCACTTCAAAGGAAACTTATTGTGAAACTAGAAGAAAAAATACGCTTAGTGGTTCATTCACACATTCAAGTGCTAGATTAACTTATCACAATCTTCTTCCTCCACATTAAAACACATTTAATGCTGACCAGTTACATACAAGGATACATCACCCAATTCTATAATTCAATTACACATTATATAACATCAATGAACTATCATGACATATACAAATATAATTCAAAAAGAAAAGCCAAGTAATATCAAACTTTTCAATTATACCTCAATCTTTTGCATCATTTGAAAATGAAATAAAGCAGACATTCAGTATTGCATTGTTTTGAACACAAATAGATTAACGATTATATTCAAAAAAATAGATTAACAATAGCATGTAAAAAAAGTAAAGTGTCGATATTAATGAGCCAAATACTGACCATCTTGGGGGTTTCCATAGTTCACATAGCCGTAGCCAAGAGATCGCTGGGTAGTCAAATCCCTGCAAACCCTAACAGAGACCACTTGGCCAAGCTGATTGAAAATATCGTACAGCTGCGAATCAGAGACGTTCACATCCAGATCGCCAACATAAAGCGACGTCACGAACTGGTTCACTCCACCACTGGAGTTGCCGGCCGGAGGTTGTGCCTGAACTTGTGCCATCCTAGCTCAGAACCTAAGAATCAGACTAGAAGTTTTTTTCAGATAGATTTTTTTGATTTTTTTGGCTTTTCCACTTCCCTCTCCTCTTTTTATTCGCAGTAAAACAGTTCAATCAATTGAGATACGAAAAGAAAATCAAACCCTAGAATGATATTTTGGGATTTTTAACGAGAGATTTTCTTTCTTTTTTTTGGATTTTTGTTTTTGGGATATGGTTTAAAACATAAAATAGATGATAAAGAGAGGAGAGGGAAGTGTTGATGGGAAGGGACAGTCGGGAATCCGACAAGCGGACGAAGAGATCGCCGCCGGCGACAGAAGTTTCAGACAGAGGGGAAGAGATTGGAAAGGGCAAACTCGAATATGGGCCGCCGTTTCTTTATACCTGCGGTGCCTAAGCAAAGCCCTAAGATACGGAGTAATTAGTACGGAGTATATAAGATAATCAGCACAGTAGAATAGAATTAAACACCAAATTTGCAAAAAATTACTAAAGTCAGTTTTGTTGAAATAACTAGTATTTTGACTTGTGTGATGCAATATTTTTATTGATTCTGAATTTTTTTCAATGCAATATCTCTCCAGAATCAAGAAAATATATTTCTCACACGTTTTTTAATGTTATAGACAACAACGTAAAATAAGTAATACTCTCTCCTGATGGTGTAAATTACCTAACCGGATAAATAGTATTAGACCGTGTCTAGGATTGTTTATTTGATTCGAAAAGTAAGAAGGTAAAAATACACAAAATGACCGGGAGGACTGTAGGTGGAAACACCTGCAGACTACAGCCCAATTAATATTATAACAGAGAATGCACGGGAGCTTTTACAAGGAAATTTAGAGAGAGGAAATCGGATCCCTTACTTCGAAGGTTACAGTAGTATTTATACTAAGTTAAAGGGGACAAAGCGTTGTGCACCCACGTTAGTGCACGTTACTAGGATGGTGCAAGGTGATTGTCTCTGTCCTATAGCGGTCTTGTCGCCTAGTGAGGAAGATTGCTCCCTTGTCATGTAGCACTTTGGATGGATTGTTCAAGCATCTTCAGCGATCTTCCGCAGATCTTTGTCGCTACGGTCCAAGCCCCTTTGAACTCTTCTCTGCCGACACTTCACAACCTTAGAAATCATAACGGGTGACTGCTGAAGGATGAGCTTTCCGAAACGGGGTAATAAAGTAGTTTGACCGATATACTTTCTGAAGTATACCGGTCAACTTTTGAGTCCACCAAACACTATTTTACTGAAGACTTAGGTCTCCCATCTTGGAAAATTAACTCGACCGGTTGGAAATATGGGCGTCTTTGTTGACCAGTTCTGGGTGGAATACACCCATCACCTCCGATCTTAAAAATTCTTTCCTGTTTTCACTTTTTTAGTCAAACAAAGACATTTTTATCATAAATTAAACATAATCTAAATAAATGATATAAAAATTAATATATCAAAACTATATCATATATAACCTAATTATATCAAATTTATATTATAATAAAATATACCCTTCTCATTATTTGTGGCCAAAGAGTTGATATTAAGAGAAAGGTGAATTATGGTGTTTGAAAATTTTTCGCAAAAAAACACTGAAACAGAATTAAGAGCAGAGATAGAGCAAGGAAAATAAAAGGGCACGACATAACGAATTTATATTGTTTCGGGAATCCTTACTTCAATACCTCAAGGCTCCTCCTTAAGGATTTAACCCCCACTAAAGCCCCGTTCCGTTCAACATATTTTTTGCTTTTTTCTTATTCTTATTAAAATCAGATCAGATCACATCAGACTAGATCAGATCCAATCAAATCAAACCAGATCAGATCAGATCCAATCATGAAATATTATTATTATTATTATTATTATTATGAATGAAAAAAAATAAACTTTAGAAACAAGTTTAATAGAAAACTAAGATATTTTAATAAAAATACTATCTTTTCTCAATTATCTAAGTTTAATTACTTTTTAATGTATATATGAATTAAATATTTATTGTAATGTATATATGAACTAATTATTAAAATATTAAATCAATATTCTTATTTCATAAAAAAATAATCATAAAATAAAAAATATTATTACCTTATAATATGAATGATTACTCTAATATATAAATTAACTAATTTTATTTCATTAAAATAATCATAAAATAAAAAAATATTGATTATATTATAATATGAATTTTCATAAAAAATTTCAGACCTTATTATAAAGTCAAATCAAATTATTGATTTGAATTTTATATCAAATCACAATTAATCAGATTCGACCACACTAATTCAGATCTAATGAGATCAAACCAGATCAGATCCAATCAGATCAGATCTAATTTGATTAGATCAAAACTACAAAAAATCAGATCAGATCAGAAAAATTAAGTTAAGCGAAACAGAGCCTAACTTGTTTGGCTTCGCCGAGAAGTTTCAAACGAGATTTGGCAAACAATCCTTGTCAATAAGTGATGAGATTTTATAACACTATCTCAACCGCTTACAACCGAAGATTTAAAATTTATCTTCAAACTTATTACACAATGAGAATTTATAGGTTATCCACACTTTTTACAAAATTAGAAATAAAATGTTTCTACTCTACTAAAGAATAAATAAATGAGTTTGGATAGTAGAAGAACAATATAGAAATCAACAACAACAAAGTTTATGACAAGATATAAAATAATGAAGCAAAAAAGCTCTTGTGTGTGAGTGTATAAAATATAATGAAAGATTAACTTAAAAGAGTAGTAAATATATTAATAACAAAGCTTAAGAACACTCAAGAATAATGAACAGAGGTTTTAAAATGATATTGGATGTTGTTGTGTCAAAAATGAGACTTAGAGAGGGTTTATATAGGATTGGGAAAGGGTAAAAGTGATAAGAATCCATTAAGAGACATTGGAGAGTGATTTAGGGGTGATTAAATTCAAATTTGAAAATTAGGAGCAGTACTCCAACGGATCCAGTACCTGTTACGGTACATAGGTACCGAGACGGTATCGAGATACAGCCTGACACGGTAGGGTGTCGTCGCAACCCATTTTTCTCATTCAGAACCTGCACCATCCGGTACCTGGTTCGGTCCTAAGGTACCGTGATGATACCAAGGTACTGTACCAACGCTACGTGGGTACCGTGTGGTCTAATCCTTTTTCCAAAATAGATTTTTGTTCCTTTTTCAAAATAACCCAACTAAGATTTTGTTTAGAAATGTTTAGATAAAGTACTTTAAGTGTAAGTGCATAAGTAAGGTGCTGTTTTTTTCTACAGAAAAAGGTCTGCAGTCTGCAAACCACATCTGCACACATTTGCAGGAGAAAAGGTGGACCAAAGGTCTGTCGTCTACAAGACGAAGACGGTTTGTTTTTTAAATTTTGTAGATTGCTTAAATAAACTGAAATTTAAAAAAAACAAATTTTTAAAGCAAATAATATTTTTTAACATTTAAATTTGAATAAGAGTTCTACAACACTGAAATAACAACAATAACATTTTTTAAAATAACAAAAATAACCATTCTTCAAATAATTTATTCTGCACTTTGCATTAAGTGCTCGGCAATTTCATCTCGTAACAGGGTCATATATTCACGATCCGATGCAGTACTGTGTACTTCAACCTCTTTTTCATCAACATCAACGTGCCCATCGCTATTTCCTAACGACACGTTTGGTTGATCGTATTTTGTAAAGAAGTCATTGCTCAAGCCCTCTTTCCTTATCAAATTATGTAGCGCGAAACATGCAATGATGCATTCATTGATGTTTTTTAGGTTGAGGTCCACTTGTGCATTCCAGTGGCAGCATTACCATCAAACAATTCTGCACAAAGTTCTGAAAAAGGCAATGGAACTGTTTTCAAGGATCCAGCCTTTGGATGCCCCTAAACCCATAGTAAAAAAATTATAAGTTTTGTTTATAGTTAGAAGTAAAAAAAATTCATAGGAACATATCTTTTTAAAATCTTTCAATTCTTCGTTCGTTAAGGTAAAAGTATATGTTTGAGCGTTTTATATGTGCTAGTTTTGGTTTTCAAATACACTCATCCACTGTATTTGACTTTCAGATGGTCATGCGCATTTCTCATCTGTTTTTTATTCAAATCAAGCCCAAACCTTTCCTTAAGAACTCTTCCTAACTTATTCCACGACTCTTTGTGCAAACTCAACCCTTTTCTACCCAACGTGTTTACCTCTTCAATGCAAGTCTCTAATAAGCATTTTATTTGCTCATTTAACCATTGTTATTTCTCTGATTCTCTCCTATTTCTATTAATTAATAAACAAAGAGCAACAACATGAACTACTACAACAATCATTAGCAACAATTAACAACAAATCTGAACTACAACAACAATAATCAAGAAAAACTAACAACAAATTTGAACTATAACAATAATCAACAAAAATAATCAACAACATGAATTACTCACACACTTTTTAGCAACAATTAACAACAAATCTGAACCTCAACAACAATAATCGATGAGAATTAACAACAAATCTGATCTACAACCACAATAATCAACAAGAATAATCAACAACATGAACTACTACAATAATCTTTAGCAACAATTAACAACATGTTGTTGACTATTGTATAAAAAAGAGATTGAAAAAATGTAAAAAGAGCATTGTACAAATTGTAGCCGGCAGGGATGAGAATGTAAAAAAAATATATAAAAAAACATTGACTATTGTACAAATTGTTAACAACAAAAAACTGTAAAAAAATTGTAAGAAAAAAAAGATTAAAAAAACAAAAAAGAGTGAGAAAAAACTTACTTGTTGCTGCAGGGATGGGAATCGAAGGAGATGGACGGCAGGGATGAGAAGAAGCCGGCGGAGATGAGGAGGAGGAGGCGTCGCCGGCGGAAATGAGGAGAAGTCGGCAGAGGGAGACAGACGGTTGGGGTGGAAGGAGACAAACGACGGATGGCTGGGAGGAGAAAGACGAACGACGGATAGAGGATGGATGGGGAGGATGAGGAGAAGCTGGCGGAGGGAGAGAGGAGTCGTGGGCGGTGGTGGAGACTCTGACGATAGCAATTTATGTAGGGCATTGGTGCAAACGGACTAACGCATAAATGCCTATATAACCTCACTTATTCTATTACAAAGCTTTGAATCTAGGTTGATTTTGCATCTCTCTACATCCTCCATCTTCCTTAGCTCATTAAGAGGCCGCATTCTATTGCCTTATCTGATCTCATCTAATTTTTTAAAAATCTAGTCTGATCGAAGTTGTTTCTAATCCAATTGTATCCAAGCTAATTTGATTTTAATAAGAATAAGTAATATGTTGAAAAAATAAATTGAACGGAACGAACCCTAAGTGTCATGTCTTCCTCTTTTTTTCTTTTACAAAATGTAGGATAGCCATGACTAGTGATAGCTATAACGATTCCATCCATTCTTATGACTAACTGCTTTTCTTTTTTCCTCTTGAAATTTATATTGCATATCGCTCCTCCTCCTCCTCTATGTTACACCTAACCCGAGTGTTATTGTCATTTTAGAGACCTAGTCAACGAGAACGACATTTCTAAGGAATCATGTGAGATCAATCATTATGAACCTTCTATAGTTGCTCGACTCACAGAAGAGGACTACTTATGGCTCGATGGCTCGTTGATTGTCCAAGTTGTCTCTAAAATAATAACCTTGTCCAATCTTTGTAACGAGACATAGGCCCATAAACGTTGGGTTCGAACAAGCTTGGCCCTAGAACCAAGACAGAAAAAAAGCTATGCTCAGCTCAACCCATCCAAGCTCGGCCACTAGTAAGGGATCTCGCACCAAAGGGGATCATGCTCGTCCAAGATCATTTGTCACTCCCAAGTCCCACCCATCCCTGCATAACTCCATTCCGCTTCTTATCGAATCTTGTATACCAAAACATTCAGAGTCGTATCTTCATCTATGCTGTAAGCTGTTACTGGATGTGAGTTTAGTCAACCGTCCGACACTCTCCTCTATAAAGCATAGTGTGTCTGACTATGAATGGATAGAACTTCCCTTATTAATTGTCAATATCTTCTTGTCACGACAAGGATCACTGAAACTAGCTTCCATTTTGTCCAAACAACTCAACAACATCCCATCTATCTCCCCATCTGCCTCAATGACTGCCTCAATGACTGAATGAGAATCCTACCCCTTAAATTCCACACACTCCGCCACCGCGCATCAAATTGGGAAAATGGAGAAGCATGGCGGTTGGGGTTGGGTGTACATCGTGCCCAACAAGGTACTATAGAGTTAGATCTCATATTAAAATTTTGGGATTCAATGTCAAACAGACCCTGGTGTAAATAAATACTACAACGGAGAGTTTATTTTTATATTCTCATTTTATTACCTTTTACTCTAGCCAATTCTCCTTTTGATGCCTATTCAGAGTATGATTTTAGCATAAGAAAATATAGTCACGTGTTTTACTGTTAGGTTCATCTTGAGATAGGATTAGGCCGAAATAATCTCTAATTTTTGTTTTGTTTGGATGCGTCCAATGCCCTACTAATTCTCCTCTGATGCCCATCGAGATATCCTGCCGGCATGGCATAGTTTGCTATGGCATTATTATCAGATTAATTGCATACTTGCATCTCATCTTTAATGTCACGTTTCATAGAAAAATTGTGTCAAATCTACACATAATATATAGAGTTATGCAAACCAAGCAATAAACTCTTTAGACTCAATCGGTGCTTTGTTTACTGAACAGATTAACTTGAACTGCCTCGACCAGAGTCTTTTATTTAGAACTCTCTTAACAGGCCTCACTTTTTTGTAAAGCAGAGGGAGTGGCATACACTAATAATGTATTGCTACTCAAGAACAGCTCAAATGACTGAATTGAATACTGAGGTGTCTCCGGTTCAATTTCTACGTAGATACAACTAACAAAATGTTTATCATTGAATATGTGCATTGGCGCATATATATAGACATAACTAGGCAAAACGTTATGTATGAATGTTGTCATGACTCCGTCTCTTCAATCAAACTAAATGGCTACGTGTATAAACATAACACACACACACACACAAAATATGTATCACCATAAGTAGTGTACGAACAGTTGAGTTTTCCAAAAAGGAGTAGATGACGTACTGACGAAACGTGACGCATTATGGTTTCCCTGAGAGGCATAGGAAAGATAGACAGGAGGAGACCGAAGAGTCCAGTGCTCGGTCGTGCTATAGAGTGGAGGATGGTCGAGACTTGATCTCCTTTTCCTCGTGGGTGGTGGATGGAGGGTGTAATGTTGAAGAAGATGAGAGTGCAGCATGATAAGAAGATGACGCAAGTTGTGCAGCTGCTGGAACAGCACCACCTGCAGATTCATTACCAATAATTTGAAGTTGGTTTGCTATGAAGTCAAAACTTTAAAGAGGCCCGTAATCTAGATCATTGTGTCCTAGATCATTGGTCGTCTTATTATTATTAATTTAAAATTATTATTAGTATACCGAGAGCAATAGTAAATTAAATGGAAAAGAATATAAGTACAAAAAAATCAACTTAGGATGCCGCATAAAACACCACATCAATTGCAAAAGAGGTTCATGTTTGTTTTTTACGAGATAAAAAGGGTTAATTGTATTGTTTTCAAGCCCAAGTATTTATTTGAAGCTTTTATGAGTTTAGGGGTCTAACTGCAGTTTTAATAGAAACTAACCTATTTGACCCTTATCCCTTTGATAAATGCAGAATATCCCCTTTGGTGCAGACTAAAGAGTGTGCCGGCTATGAAACTTTTGATCAGGACTTAAACTAGATCAAGTTTTAGATGCTCATTCTGTTGTCTGGTGCTAAAGAGCTAAGGGGAGTAATTATCTTTTGGGTTATTGGGGTTCATGAAGAAAGGTTACTCAAGCACTAGAACTCTCTAGAAAAAGTATATTTACAATGTTTTGGCTTAAAATAAATAATGGACTAAATAAAATGACACACTAAACATTCATTGCTTCTTACGTTCTATAGAGTTTCAAAGGGGATTGTTCTTTCTTTTGTTGTTATACTTTCAGCTAATTTGAATATTTGATACCATTAATTGGCACCAATCCCAACTAGTTGAGATAAGGGCACTGGTGATGATTATAATAAGAAGATGCATTTACAAATCAACATGATGTTGAAATAAAATGAGGTTACAAGTGGAACTGAAAATGAAAAGCTCATTAGCTTATTTGAAAAGCTACCCCAAGACACTTACAGTCACGTAAGGTCAAGGTTGTCAGATAAGTTACTCCAACCAAACAAATCTTATTTGAAAACCTACTCAAAGAAGCTTCGTCTAAAAATCAGAATAAGGGTCATTTTATTTTTTGACAAAAGTTCTTTGAAAACCTACTCAAAGAAGCTTCTTAAAATCAGAATAAGGTTCATTTTCTTTTCTTGACATCTTATAGTAGCCTTCTCCCTCCAACATATTCTTATGGCTGATGGATTTCATTAGGCAAAAGCAAACTATATGCAACATATTAACTGTTAAAGGTAAAGCAAATGAGGTGAAGACTGATGTATGAATTGTGAAAAACCCTTCTTACCAGCCAATCCTGCACATGCTGATGAGAAAATAATTACAGGTGGAGCCTGCAACCAAAATATTAATGCATCAGAAGAAATGATAGATCCACAGTAAATTCAAGGAGAACAAATTCATGCATTTTAAAAGTACTTTAGAGAGAGCCAAAAAAAAGCCTCACAATCTAGACTAGGCTTTCTTTCCCATATTCTTATTGATGCCCAAGATAATTGACTCTTCACAAGAGAGAACCATGTATATTAATGTAGCTCATGTCTTGCAAATGCAAGCTCCCACCCTCCCCCAAACAACTCCAAAAGAAGTTAAACAAACATGAGTAATGATTATCATTTCCAAAGGAAAAAAAGGTATTTCCTTGGCCACTGATATGAATAACAGGACAGATTGCATGCACTCGGAAAAAGAAATAAGGGGAGAGAAACAGTACAAAAATTCAATGCCTCAAATTAGAAAGAGAACAAAAAAATTTACTGACAAGCTGAAGAAACTTACTCCAACAAGGAAATGTAGCCACATGGGACCTTTAATCCCCTTTCTAACAAAAGGCATCACTGGATATCACGACCAAAGGAGAATATAAAACATTAAAATCACTATAAAATTAATAATCCTTATTTGCAGAGAATAGAGAAACAATGAAGATAGTATAATTATAAAAATCAATATCCTTTACGTAGCCAGAGAAGATGCATGGTATTCAAGTAGATGAACAAATATATAAATGCGTATGGTAGTAATGGTACAAAATAAATTCATGAAATTTGAAGAACATAAACCACTCTCAAAACAGTTTCTTCTGCTTTGATGAGACAAAAAATGGACCCATTCAACGGTGTGAAAATGCAAAACAACTTTTATTTGTATACATATAATTATCATGTTGCAACACAAGCTTACTATGGACCAAATAGATCTACAAAGTTTCGGTTAGAATTTTATGAGTTTTTTTTTAAAATTAGTAGGCATCTACATGTCTGAAACATGCTATCCCAAATTATTTTTGGTTCTGCATCTATAAACTTTCATGATTTTCTTTATTTTCATTATTATCTTTTACTATACTAGTCAGTTTTACTCCATAACTTACAACAACAGAACCACAACTACTGTAGATTTAATTTGATAGTCTTGACTTGACAGCATCCCAAATCCATTTTGTTATTTATCTATTGTTATCAATTTTTCATTTAAAATATTTGTGTTAATCTGGCATACCTTGAGGCTTACACCTTATGCATCAACAATAATACGCCTCAACCCCGTCTTTCGCCATATCAAACATTGACCACATGAGTGTGAAATTACCAAAATTGTTTGGTTAAGCCTGTGGATTGTAATTTTAGCATATTTTATTAAAGGATATATGTTTTAGTGTGTTGGTTACTTTGCGAAAAATGTCAAATAAATACCGGAGTACTATTTTTGGTGTAAAGAATTGATAAATATAAAAAACTAAAAACTAAATAAATAATTTATCGAGTTTTTTTAACCAATATAATTTATCAAGTTATTCAAATGTTTGCTATTTTTTTCTAATTAACATCACTCTCTAAAAGTTAGTAATAAAATTCATAATATTGCCAAATTTGGAAATAAAATGAAAATACCCAATGTTATTGCACATCAACCAAGGGAAAAAGTTTACCACATAACCATGTAAATAACATATCCTACGTCACGGTAACAATGTATTATTACATTAACACTTTTCCAAGGTTAACTTAAATAAAAGGAACCCAACACCCTTCACTCATACGTCGGTACATTTATATTAGGGGAGGAGCTGATGTATTCCTCATCAAGATTTCCTAGATTTTCCTCAATTAGATTTTAGAAGTATAGGAAAAATTTGTTTACCACATTTCCTCAACGTGAAAGACACCAGTGCAATTGACATTGTTTATATGTGCATGAATTTTTAGTGTTAGTTTTTTAACACAATTAATTGACACTATAAAAGCTTGTGTGCATTACATTAAAATTGACATATTTACCAAACTCTAATATACTCAACTTCTTTTCCACCCTTGTTTTCTAAGTAGTTATCCAATAGCTTAGAACAGAGGTGTGCAATTGATTCCTATTTGAATGAACTATGAGGAAGAGTATGAATGCTTAACAATGATACGCAAATGATAACATGTAAAATGTATCCTGAACATCTGTAGAATCTTAAAGTTCTTAGATTGATCATTGTTATGTTAAGAGACACATTCACAAAAGACTCATCAGATCATATAGAACCTACCAAAACTGCAAAGGAATTTAGCTGCACGTAATTGATATAACAGCAATCATAAACTAGCTGAAGATAGCTAAACAACAACAACAACCCAGTTGAATCCCACAAGAGTAGGGTGTAGGGAGGGTGTGTGTGCACAAACCTTACCCCTACTTGAAAGTAAAGAGGCTGTTTCCAAAGAGACCCCCGGCCATAGTTATGAAAGGCGAGTGGCGAGTGGCGGGCGAGAGGACTTTTTTGTAGCGAGAGGCGTGGCGAATGGCGGGCGGTCAAATAGAAACCAAAAAAAGTGAATACACACACACACAGTTATTTTCACATGAATGACAAAACACAACATAAATTAAAAAATGTAGTTATATATTGAAAAAAATTATGCATGGCTTATCATAAAGCCTTAAAATAATTAAATTGAAGAAATCATAAATTGGAAGAATAGTACACAAATTGAAAATATAATAGAAACTGTTAATATTAATTCATTGAATAATACAGAAATCCAAAAAACAAATTGAGAATAATATGCTTATTGATTAGTGACCTACTGCTGTGCTGAGGCCTGAGACTTGCGCTGGAACACCTGGAAGAAGACTCCGAGTCTATTAGGCTGCTTACTAACCGCCCGTGTTAGTGTGCTGCGAGTTGCAGAGAATCGACAGGAAGGACGATCGACTTATGAGACGAAACGCGGGGTACGGTAATTACTGATCACTTAATTAGAAACGGGCTCAGGCCCAATTTAAGGGTCCGTTTGGTGAGTTTTGGAGATATGATAAGATATGAATTTTGATATTTGAGAGAAATGATATGGGTTTTGAAATCTGGATCAAAACTGTTTGGAGATGGGAGAAATCAAATCAAATCAAAACCATACAAAATAGGTGACCTGTTAATAAATTTATAGACTGAAATTTAGTTCAAGTTACTCAAGTTCTGAGAAGCCATTGAAAAGTAAGAAAAATGAAGAAAAAATCATCATTTCTCCAAGAAAAACAATACAATTGACTTATTGAAGAAGAAATAAGAGTTGTATGGGGAAAAAAACAAAGCAATAAAAAGATAAATGAAGAGGAAGGAGATGCGAGATGGGGAGGAAGGAGATGTACAGTTCCAAAGGAGAATATGATGATCAGCACAGCTGAGGAGATGGGGAGCGCAATTTTGTGATTGTGAAATCGGCACTTTAAGTGTTGAAATCGGCACTTTAAGTGTTGAAATCGGTGCTATACGAGAGATATCAAAAAGCGGCGTATTGGGAGGTTTTGATTTCTCCAGATTTGAAATCAAAACCCTTTTTTGCTTCACCAAACACCAAACTTGAGAATTCAATATCTAAGATATTGAAACCCATATCTGATTTTCTCACCAAACAGGCCCTAATTATTCCATTCAATTTTGACCGGTTAATGAAAAAAATTGATGGCGATGCAAACGACCAAAATTGTGCTCGCCTTACGCCATAACTTTCAGTGAAAATGACGACGCCATGGCACGCCTCACACACATCTCCATTTCCAGCCAAATTCAGGCGCCCTAGGCTCGCCACGGCGCCATAACTGCCAAGGTGCCATAGGCGAGCATGGCGCTCCCCTTTCATAACTATGCCCCCAGCTCAGTGTCGAAAGTTGCATTAATTGACTGACTGCTACTTCACTAATTAAGGAAGCGCAGAAAATAGTGAATTTTTGGCTCCATTGGAGATTATGGAAACTGAAGATAGCTTGACAATGATACTCAAATGATAACATGTAGGATGTATCCGGAACATCTATAGCATCTTAAGTTCTTAGATTGATCATTGTTATGTCAAGAGCTGCATTCACAAAAGATTCATCAGATCATATATTCATATACAACCTAGCAAAGTCCAAAACTGCAAAGGAATTTAGCTGCACGTATTTGATATAACAGAAATCATAAGCTAGCTGAAGATAGTAACAAAAAACGAGTAAGCAACATTACCATGGTTGAAGCCATAAAACGCACTTACTGTGCCGCCAACAGCAGAACCAATCTAGCTCATTCCACCAGCACAAGAAATACATAAGAGCATAAACCAAAAGAAAATAAGAGATATATGACACATATAATGATGGTAAAGTGTACCATGGAAAAACTATCTCTTATCAAAGGTGGAACTGTCCACTCGCTAGCCTCCTGCCATGATTTTTTATTATCAGAATTCCATGAGAATCTCATACTCAAAAGAGGAGAAATAATAAATGTGGAAGTTACCATCTCGTTGGATAGTGGACCGGCGCAATGGGCACATCTCACACTATTCTTGAGGCTATGGTTTGATTGCATAATCGGCTTCTCCATTCATTCACCCACCCAGCAATCAGCAAGACGTATCAAATTCTATAGAACTTGAGTCCATCGAATCAGAAGTAAGCCGCCATAAAACCGGAAAAAGATGCATGTATAAGAGATCATGCCATCAAATGAAAAGTTTTTCAAGACCCAGCCTGGACCAAAGAAGGCTGATTATCCTCACAAATCTTTACTTAAGACCGGTTTGAAATCAACTTTTGAAAATTCGTATGTGCTTACTTAAAGTGGTTTTGTAAGACTTTAAATGATTTGTCCGACTTATTTTGTATCAATGATGTGTCGATGACATAGTTTTCTATTAAGCATCCAGGCTCGGCCTGTTTAGCTTTAAGTGATGGTCATTTAATGCTCCACTCTTACATCCAGTCCAATCATGGGCAGTAACGCACATGATTCCATTTAGTTTTAGGTGATGGCCATTTAATGCCCCACTCTTACATCAGTCCAATCATGAACACTAGCGCAGGTGGTTTATTAAGGACACCGGCTCTGAGGCTTGGCCCATTTAGCCTTAGGTGATGCGAATTTTATGCTCCGCGCTTACATCAAGATTAAATATTCTACATTTACATGTTTACAACACAATTCACAGACCAACATCCTCAAAGAAGCAAAAACTATTTGAATTCTAGGAGAAAGCCTTGGTGACAATGGTGGCCAGAAATCATCTCAGCCACGATAATGGTCACTACTCAAGGATATCAATCAGAATGTCACTGCATGGGCAGTGAATTTGAGAGCATCACAAGCTTACCAAGTTCCGTCACACAGTAGAGGCGGCAATGTGATGGAGGTCATCATACAGGATGAAGAGGTAATGTGGTTTTTAAGGTCTATTAAGAAAAACACACTTTTTAGGACATAATACTCATGTAGTCAATTATAATGTATAGCACATATTTAATCCCATTCAGGATCAAACTTTAAAGAATCTGGGAGCTCAATTGCCACTTCATTTGATTTTATGATCATTTTCATATAACTCTAGAGCAATAATACTTCAAATAATCTATTTGTAATTTTGTATCAAGAAAATAGCATAAACAATAAACCAAAATACGATGGAGGCCATCCATACCTGATTTTCAACATAAACAAAAACATTTGCAAGTTTAGAAGAATTTGGTGTCAAAACCACATTGAACTTAATCAATGTTTTGATATAGAACAAGCAATTTTTGCGACATTGAACTCAAAAAGGACCCTTCACTGATTTTAAAAGTAAATTCCACTTCAAACAATTGTGTTCTTCATCTTCCTCTTACTGATGGAGCCAAAATTTCACCATTTTTTTGGCTTTGGGGTGTGATGGAATAAATCAAAATGGATCTCTAAAGTGTCTGCACTTCTTTAATTAATGAAGTAGCAGGAGTCAAGCAATACAACTTTCGACGTTGAGCCGGAGGTCACTTTGGAAACAGCCTCTCTACTTTCGAGTAGGGGTAAGGTCTGCATACACACACCCTCCCAGACCCTACTCTTGTGGGACTTAACTGGGTTGTTGTTGTTTGTGTATCGTCCTCTTATTGATTTTACGTATTACAAATCTTACTTGAATTCTATTTTTTTTTAATTTAGTTCCTTCTTAGGACAAAAGGATTCATGTTCAAATCAATCATCCTCACATATCTCAATTCCTGCCCAGGATCAAAGGAGGATTGCATGGGTTAAGAACTTCTTTGGCTAATAAAAAAGGGTTACTGCAGCTACAACTAAAAATTATTCAGGATATCATTGAACAATGCATTTATGTATTTAATTCAATTACATTTATTAATTGTTTTGTTAAGGATTAAGGTCATGTTCTTTTGAGTTGGAAAAATTAACTTCTAAGTTTTTCCAACTTACGGTTTCTTCCAACTTCTTCCACTGGTTCCAACTCCTTCTCGTTTCTTCCAACGACTTAAAAAAGGTATTCATATATGATGAATATACAATAATATTATATATCCAAATTTATAACATGCCGCCTCAAACATGGACAATGATAAATTCTTTTTTTATCCAAAATTAGAGTTTCTTACATATTTATTTGGGTGAGCATTTAATTGAGTGACTTTTTAACACTTAAATTCTTCCAACTTCCAATTTTCCAACTTCTAGTTACTTCCAATATTCAACTCTAAAATTCCAACCCAAAAGAACAGTGCCCAAGTGATGTAATTGACAGCTTCCGTTAAATCATTTAATGACCAAAGGGTTGGATATTAGAAATACAATTTCCTTATTTCTATTCAAAATTTATTTATTTACTTATTTAAATATTTAATATTATTCATTATGGAGTATTTATTTGTTTAAATTATTTACTTTCAATATAAATATTCAATTTGTCAAAAAAATGTAATAACAAAATGCCTATTATATTTGAATTAATTGAAAAAATTTAATGCACTTGAAATCTTGGGACAAACTGTTGTACTTTAAATAGGGAGTTATCTTAGAACCATGGTTGTTAAGTCGACAAGGCGAGTCGAGTCGGTGACGGGGAGACTAGTGGACTAGGTGACTAGTCGTAGATTAGTCATAGACTAGTCGACAAATCACAATTAGTATTGAAATTTTTAACATTATATATATCTACATTAACCCAACATGAATATATATATATATATATATATATATATATATATATATATATATATATGTGACAAAATACCATAACCAAAGCAAACTTATGTTTAAAGATAGCACATAAAGTCACTTAACAAAGAGTACATAACAAACCAAAATAAAACAAAAATATTAACTGAAATCAGAAATGAAACTGAAATATTAAACTGAAAATAAAAAACTGAAATACTAAAATACTAGAATAAAAAAAATCAAAATATTAACTGAAATCAGAAAAAAACTGAAATATTAAACTGAAAATAAAAAACTGAAATACTAAAATACTAGAATAAGAAAAAAAATCAAAATATTAACTGAAATCAGAAAATAAAACTGAAATATTAAACTGAAAATAAAAAACTGAAATACTAAAATACTAGAATAAGAAAAAAATCAAAATATTAACTGAAATCAGAAAAAAACTGAAATATTAAGAAAACAAAAGAAAACTGAAATCTTACCCATGGAGGAGAGTCGCTGATGGAGCCGCCTGGAGGAGAGTCGCTGGAAGTCACGGAAGTGCTGGAACTCGAAAACGTCGCTGATGGAGGAGAGTCGCGACCCTGGATTGCCTGTCGATTGGATGGATTACGTCGAAGAGGCCATGTTTTATCGAAAATTTTAAAAACGAATGAAATTTGGGTCGGGTCTTGTTGGGTCGGGTCAATTGGGTTAGGTCAAATTGAACAATTTCTTTCACCCACTAGGCGTCTCCTACGCGCAACTAAGTGTCGCTTTGCACGCTTTATCGCCTAGTCTTCCCTAAGCGCTAGTCGAAGAGCAAAACGCAGAGGCAAAACTGCCCGGACGACTAGTCGGCGACTAGTCGTGGCCTAGGCGACGACTTGACAACCATGCTTAGAACTAAATACTACAAAATATTTGTATAGTAAGATTAGTTTTTTATAGAGTGCGTAGGTAGGTAGGAATCTGGACAGGGGCTCAGTGCAGACAAAACATTTCTTGAAGTCTTCAAAAGTCTTTTATATATATGATAAGACTTGGCAATAACCTAAATTGTGCAATTTTATAGGGTGAATCATGTGCTACCATTGTGCTTGGGTTGACTAATAAAAGAGGCACAGTACTACCCCGACACTCTCTTGGGCGAATTGAGTGTGGAGGCTCGACCAAGAAGGGCAGCCGGCCCTAGTCTTGGTTCGACCCATATGGCAGTAAATTAGGTTTTCAATTTAGCCATCCCTAATTCTCTTTGTGGGCTTGGGCCTGAATTGGGGATTAAGTTTTTAATCCAAGTTTAGTCTTCATAAATAGTGATCTTTGTACTTGTAATTCGTGGAGCACCTGAATAATAAAAAGCCTAGTTGCAAAGTTGATTTAGGTCAGCCGACTGAACCACTATAAATCTTGGGTTCTGTTTTCTCCGTTTTGATTTTTGTTTTGTGTGTGTTCTTGTTTGGTTGTGGTTTGCTATTCATAGATACCCCAACAACTGGGTATCAGAGCCTTAGGCTCGTCATTGTTGAAGTCTTCCATCGGGTTCATGGAGATCAGGTATAAATCGAAGGTTAGGGTTTCAAAGAGTTTCAAGATCAGTTCCGCCACCGTCATAGTTTCCGCTGCAGAATACGGTTTGTACTGTCTTGTGAACAGTAACCGCGCCGCCACTGTGAACAGCCACCAGCGCTAGGGTTCCGATTAGCCGCTGCCAAAAGGTTAGTTCGTTATGGATTTTTCAATCTCAGATCAGTTTTTCAGCCGTGTATGGAAACAATGGCAGATGAAAAGATAAAGATTGAAAAGTTTGATGGGAGTGATTTTGGGTTTTGGAAGGTGCAAATCGAAGATGTTCTTTATCAGAAAGACTTATGCCAAACGTGATCAGGAAAAAAGCCAGAAAAGATGAGTGGTGCAGATTGGGCAATTTTGGACACGAAAGCTTTGGGAGTGGTCAGGTCGTCATTGGCGAAGAGTGTTGCTTTCAACATAGTCAATGAAACGTAGGACTTCCCGAATGACCGTACCGAGTTATTCTACCGTACTCCATGCAGCTGTTATTGTTGAGTCTACCCAGAGGTCCAGGACAGGATTGTAGGAAGTGGGCGATACTTTTCTGTATTTCTATGAGAAGCTCTATGGAACCCATGATTCCCAACTCCTTATTAAGTAATGGGTTTTTAAGAGGGCCGGGCCTCTCTCTGACCTGACAACTAGTTTCTCCTCCCCGCCCAGTTCTATCAACAGGCCCTTTCTTTTGCAATACTTAAAAAAGTCTATCATGGCCCAATTGTTATTACAGCGTTCTCTACCATAGAATTGAGTCAACCCGGCGGCTTCTACGTCGCAAAGGAGGCTCGAGGAGGGCCGTTTCCTCACTGAAGTTAACCCAGTTTCTCCTCTCTGAGAGTCCAACCTTACTTATGGAATTCCTCCCATATACATATATGGGCATCCCTCTATGAGTGTTCTCCAGGAAAGACCGTCCGATTCTTCGGATCCTGAGAACGAAGCCCTCATTACCAATTATGAGATCTATGAAATGATAATCCATATATATGCTTTTCTAAAAGAATAAAATGGCATATGGCGAATCATTTCATAGAAGGGAAGGCGTCATACATAACGCATGGGTTAATGAAAGCTTTGATGAATATGTACGAGAAACCATCAACATTGAACAAGGTGGTTTTGATCAGACAGTTGGTTAACACCAGAATGAGGGAGGGTACCATTCACATCAACCAATTTAATTCGGTCATAACTCGGTTAGTATCAGAATTAAGTTTGATGATGAACTTGAGGCGTTGCTGCTTTTATCTTCTTTGCCTGACAGTGATTGCGGTTAGTAGTGCATCTGGTACTATTAAGTTTACTGAAGGTAGAGGAAGAAGGAATGAAAGAGGAAGCAATTGTGGTAGAGGCAAGAGTCAGTCCAAGCATCGGGAAGGAATTGTCTGTTGGGATTGCAAACAGACGGGACATTTTAGAAGTCAGTGTCCGAATGGCAAAAAGGAAGTGAATACTACAGAAAGCTGCTCAAACAATAGTGATGATGTGTTAACCTGTAGCATAGAGAGTAGTATAGATACATGGGTGATGGATTTCATGCCACACACAACATGAAGCTGATGAAAAATCTAAAGATTGGGGACTTTGGTAAAGTACGACTTGGTAACGATGAAATTCTGGATGTTAGGGCATGGGGGATACTGACTTGAAAGCTTCGGTTGGAGCCACTTGGACTTTGAAAATCATCAGAGTCATTCCAAGCTTGAAGAGGATGTTTATCTCAGTTGAACAGTTGGATGATTCGGGTCTTGATGTTAAATTTGGTGGTGGACAGCGGAAGGTGGTCAAAGGAAATCTTGTTGTTGCTCGTGGCAAGAAAAGGGTTTCGTTATATATGGTCAAATACCTCCAGAAGGAGCAAGTCCAGTTCTGGTAAAAGAAAAGGTCCGGTTCAAAGAATCTCGTGAGCAAAAGAGGGTTACCTTTGCAAAGGGGAAACCCAAAGCAAAAGAGTACAGATTCAGATGAACTAGCTCCGAAGGTTCAACCAGACAGGGAATTTTGTGACAGTGGGAGCACATGTCGTGCTTCAATCCCAATTCGGTAGTGGGTTAGGAAAACCAGTATTCCGGCATTGAAAGTTTCTCCTGTTAACTATTTGCTTGGTTAGGAGAATATAGGTTCTCAGTTTATCTTGGAAACCATGAGAGTGATAGACATGTCACAGTCGGAGCTTGCACAAAAAGAGAATGAGTCACGGGTTGTGACTGATGAGTTGAAGCTTTGTGGGAGCTTCTAGGGATGGGCATAAAACCCGTTCCCGTTGTCCCGTTCCGAAACATTCCGTAACCATTATGAAATTATAGCGTTTTATTTGGGATTCATTTTTTTGCCCCGAACCCATTCCGTCATAATTCTAAATGGGACATCACCGGGAAAACATAAAGTGTACCTTTCCGTCCTGTTTTTCCCGATTTATTTACTCTTATAATATGGTTTTATATATATATATATATATATATATATATATATATATATATATATATATATATTATTAATGTCTTGACATTTAATGTTTGGCCCAAAATATATACTGAGTACTCTCGAGTAGGATATTCTATATTGCTAATTGGCCCAAACCTAGCATTCTTCCTTTGTTAGTTGTGCAATACTTCCTGTTAATTAATTCTGTTTTAATCTTTTTATATTATCTTATTGTATAGGTTGTTGTAAGACATTCTTATTAAATACTCTAATATTTTTAATTTTCATAATTTTTTTGTAAGTCTAAATATCGATTTTCCTTTCCATCCGTACGTATATTTTATCTCTAACTTTGAACAAGGACAAAGAAGGACAATCCAAATTCGTTCTGTTTTGTCCCAGTTCAAAAAATTATGGGACAAAGTGGGATAGGCTTTTGGTCCGAACCGTTCCGAACCATTTGAATATAACGGGACAGGATGCGGGATAATATGAAACCCGAACCGTCTCGTCGTGTGCCCACCCCTAGGAGCTTCAATGGGCCTTTAGGTAACTGAAGAGAAGGCCGCTGCAACTAGTGTTAAATGAAGATTACAAGAGTTACATATGCTGAAGACTATGGGGCGTTGTTCGAGCTTCTAAGTGGGAGATTGTTGGGTGAGTTGAGTGTGGAGGCTCGACCAAGCAGGGCAGACGGCCCTAGTCTTGGTTTGACCCATATGGCGGTAAATTAGGTTTTTTATTTAGCCGGACCTAATTCTCTATGTGGGCTTGGGCCTTACTTGGGGATTAAGCTAAGTTTTTAACCCTAGTTTAGTCTTCATAAATAGCGACCTCTGTACTTGTAATTCGAGGAGCACCTGAAAATAAAAACCCTATTTGCAAAGTGAATTTAGGTCAGCCAACCGAACCACTATAAATCTTGTGTTCTGTTTTCTCTGTTTTGATTTCTGTTTTGTGTGTGTTCTTGTTTGGTTGTGGTTTTCTATTCATAGATACCCCAACACTCATCCCATAGACTGCTCTCAATCTCCTGTCACAAATTTTCAAAAATGAATACTCCCTCTCTCGCACTATTTTTCGAACATGGAGTGACACAAAAATTAAGTATTGATGCTAAAAAATCAGATAAAGTAAAATTGAATGTGAACCGCACAAATATGACCAAATATGGTAGGCGACTAAAATATTGGGGTGGATAAATAAGATAATAAGCCTTGGTTAATATGGTTAAACAAGGGACAAAAAACAAAATAGTGGGATGGAGGGAGTAGTTTCTAAGTAAAAAAGGAACTCCTTTGGTTAATAAGTACTCCGTAAAACAGAGTTTGAAAAAAAAATTGTAACCAAATGGTTAACTTCATTTAGCACTAAGATGATATCTTCACATGACATTTGAAGTGACATCCATAGTTGTCCATTGTTCTTACAAAAAAAGAGTTTGAAAAAAGTTCATTTGTTTTTTATTTCATAAAATGGAATACCCTTCAAATCAAAGCAAAATCTACCTTAGAGAACCATTTGGTTGCCCGTGGCCTATAGTATAAATCTGATTTAAGAAATGATTTCTCTTCATATTGTTATTTTGAAAAAACTTAAAATTTCAGAGCAGGACTAAAAACTTGAACATCTCATTTTCAAAACATATTAGGCAACAATCTTGTTTCTGAAAATAAATTTTTTTATGGCTTAGTACTGCCATATTGCAGAAAAAATATGTCACCGGAACACTTTTGAGAAATGGGGGCTAGAACATAATGGGGTCCAGGCAATGTAAACTTGCAAAAAAAATAATCAATTTTACGTTTCAAAACTTCTCCATTTGACTAAAGATTAAAGAAACAAAAAGTCATTGAACTAGTTTAGTCTTTTTTAACCAAAATGGAAACTTGTTTGTGTATCAGATTTTAAAGGTTTCACTTTCAAAGTCTATTTTTAAAATTTTTAAATGTTTCACCTTTAGATTATCTTTTATTTTATTTTTTGGTCAATACTTCCCAATTTCATTGTACAATCAACATTAATATCGTCTATAGATAAAAATAAACTATGAAATTAATAATTTCACATAAACTACTGATAAATTCAGAAACACTCGCCATAAAAACTGCGAGTATACGTCAATATACAAATCAATTAAAAGAACCAAAAAAATACCTGGAGTTCGAGTTTGCGCTGCACAGCTGCTGGACTGCTGGCGGACCGCGGACGGAGTGGCCGAGCGGCGGATTGCTCGAATACTCGAAGTAGTCGGACGGCAGTTGTTGGCTTGTTGAGTTCCGACGTCGCTGCGGCCTGCGCTTGGAATCAGAAGAAAATCAGATTGAGCTAAATAGCTAATGGGCTTGAACGGTAGGACTCGTATTTTAGCATTTGGACTGGGCTACTTATTTAATCAATCCAAAATAAATATTGTCTTCCTCCCTAAAACAATTCCACTTTTATTCTGTTCCAAAAAGTTTCATTTTCTATTAAAAAATTATATTTATCCCAATTAGTTTTTTGTCTTACGTATTAATCTTTTCATCTTAAATTAAATGACATGTTCATTATTCACATTTCAAGCTGTACTCATCTTCTTTATCTATTTTTGTTTGTCATTTGATAAAATAATATAATCATGTCATCAATTGCTTTGTTGATCTTTTGATGTACTTTTTAAATATATAAATCTTATTTTTTAATTTCACCCCTATTGTCTAATTAGTTGAATGGAAAATAAATTTTGTTAAACATCGTAAACTGAAACAAGTCATTTAAAATGGGATGCAGAGAGTACATATTTATCCACTACTAATCTATCAATCATACCATATTTTAACTCATCATATCAAGAGTAATTTTGAAAATCCAAAAACAAAAATATCCCTTCTCTAAATTCCATAAAAAGATAATTCACAAGAGAGTTTTTGGGAAGGCGTAAGTACCGTCTAGGTAGTGTTTGGTAATCTATACTCATTGCATTTGAACTAGATACACACCTATGTGTTGTGCGGCTCGTATTTATCAATTTATGTAATGAAAATATATTGGTATCATTATTGAAAAATAGTAATGCTAGATACCACGCACACCTCTAGAGGAGGTGAATAGAGGTGTTGCCCAAATGGCTAATTTTTTGTGCGCAAAAGCCCTTGAAAAATGCTCGATGAAAACCAAGGCACCACAAAAAATATAAAATGAAGGAAAATAACAAAGAACACACCGATGTGTACTGGCTCGGTTTAATGCCTACATCCAATCTCCAAAGCAAACGTGCTCGAGCCTTCATTACCAACTTGTCAAATTTAACGGAGTTTGACATACAATCCAAATACAACTCAATAATTTGATTTCGCAAGCCTCTGATCTTACCACCGAAGCCTTGATTTTACAAGACTTGAGATTTATTCCACTATCATTTTATTTCACAAATCATTAGGATTACTACCACTTGATGTAATCGCAATATCAAGAATACAAATCTCTTACAAAAAGTAAGAGAACAAACCACAACCAAATAATTCTCCCAACACAGAGTAGATTACTGCAAATATAATGAGGTTCTATTAAAGATGACACAATCTCTCAAGGACTCAAGCAATGAGGATGGTATACTCAAGCAAGAAAAGATTTAGGAATCAAAAGTTCAAAACAATTGTCTTGTTTGGATATGTTTAGGGATTGAGTTGGATTTCTTTGGATAATCAAAAGATGTGATATGATATTTGTTTTTGATGTTCTTCTCATGATAATCAAGAAGTATGGAAGTTTATAGAAATTGGGAGTGGTTATGCATCAAAAGGATTGGGAAAAAACTAACTGTTTGGAGGTTGAAACTGCTCGTTTATTCAAATACGACCTCATTTATATTTGAATAAGATAGAGAGTTTCTGTGACCTGTAAAATGATGCACTTATTCAAATGAATACTGCATTATTTAAATAACATAATGCATTTTTCAGCCACTGGAAAAACGACTTATTCGAATAAACCAAAACTTTTTCGGATAGAAGAGCAACTTCTCCACACATTTGATGATCGAAAAGATGTTTCGAAGGTAGGATTATCAAGGAATGAACATTAGAGATGCCACACTCTTTAACACACATTCTAAGACCTAAAAAACTACATAACCAAGGAAACTATGTCTTTGGTCTTGATATTTCAACGGATGCAAAAAGTCCCTTCTTCAGAAATGGATAGAAACTAGTTATACCTTTGAATCTTAGCCTTGATGCACAATATGATGGTGGTCTTTTTCACCTTTTTTTCATTATCAAAATCTAAAAGACAATGGGCAAAGGACATCATAAATATACATATTGATGATAACACATTGTCCAATAAGTAATAGACCATATAATAGAATATAAAGTTTTTTTTAATTGTTTTAAAGCATGAGCATTAAATGAAATACAAATCTCGGAAATCTTCTTTATAAACTACATTATTAGTACAATTCGTGGGAACATCCTCCATGTTGTCTATTATAATCTTCAAGCAATTACGATTCATTACTCTTGATACCATAACATATAGTTTCAATGACTAAATACAAGTTTCTGTAACAATAATCTCACGCATTTTAGAGATTGATCTTGACTCTTATTTCATCAATGCATATGAACTAACCATATGAAATTGTCTTATTTGAAACTTGAATGGAATTCTTGCATGAGAAGATGTCATATTAAGCTTGGAATTTTTGCCTTCCTATCATGAGCAGGAACTCTTGTAGCCCTTAATTTAAGCATCCAACTCGAGCATCTGTGATCTATTTTTTGACAAACGACCACACCCCCATGATCGGTAAATATGTGTTCGTATAAAAGCAAGAACAATATATATACTATACTAACTATACTATGCTAGAAAATAGATGACTTGTTCCATGGGGAGAACCTATTTATATAAACTAAAAGGAACATAAAAGGAAACAAAATTAAAATATACAAAGAAAATGGCATTCATATGTGTTATTTTTTCCAAATATATTTCAAGTCTAAGGTGTGTGTGTGTATATATATAATTTCTTAGATTTTGCAGATAATCAAAACAAACACTAATTTTGGAATGGGTGAACTATACATGTCATTCGATACTCTCAAATTTAGTAATACGTAAACAAGTGTAACGCCCCAAAACATATCCTAGAATTATTAATGAATAAATATTCAATTAATCAAATTTGTTTTGATTAAAATAAATTATTGTTGGGCTTTGGGCCGATATGAAATGTGTTTTGACATCCAATATCAAAATCTGGATAAGTCTCATAGAGATAAATCCAGTATGTGGACTATGTATGTGGTCTTGATTGGGAACCTGAGTACAGACCCCAATCAAGAGTAAATAAAGAATTTGTTTAGAATGTAAATATTGAAATGATTTCTTAAAATAAATCATGAGAATAACTGATATGAATTAAATGAGAGAACCTTTTATGATAAAAGTCAATTAAACCAATTTTGACTCTGCGAAAGTCAAACACCCAAAAATATGATGTCAAAAAAGTGTTAAAAATAAATATAAAAATTATATCGTTGGATAGAGTTTAACTGTCCGATCGCAACGGTGCAAACAGAATTCAATTCAGAGAAAGTTGGACCAAAAAGTGTACCCCGACTAGAACCAAAATTGGTCCCAATCAGGTACTTGCATTTGGAATTGCAGGAATCGGCCATCCGCTCCACTAAGACGCAAAAACAGGAGAATGGATGTCATCCTCCATGTCTCCTTCTTCTTTTCTTCCCTATATAAGACCACCTTCACCCCTTCAATTCTCCACCATCTCATACAATCCTTATATCTATTCTGTTGCTGGGAGTGAGGAGAACGCAATGGTGCTGTCGTATTGGTGTGAGGTCACCGGAGTTGAGAGTTATCGTCGCTGGAAGTTTTGTCGGAAAATTTTCAAAACCTCTATTAAGCTCCGAGGTAAACCCGTAGATATATCTAAATATTAGAATGTTCATATAGGTTGTCTTTACGTTCATAAATGGTCATTTGGTTGAGTTTTGTGTTTGACATGTTTGAAGAACCAAAAATCATAAACCTTAAATTTGATGTTAAAAATATGTTTTGATGATTCTAAAATGATCTATGAACCTTGGAGAACATTTCTATATAGTTTAATTTAAGTTTGGTAACAAAAATTGATATTTCCGAAAACGGACCGAAGGAAGAAGACGATGAACAGTGACCAAAAATCAATTATTTTCTTCTTAAGAATCGATTAAAATTTCGTTTAGACGAGATGTTTGAAGTCAGTACCCATTAATCAAGAACAAATCGATTATTCATAAAGACCAAATAGATTTTTAGTATTTAATCGATTATTTCTAAAGTAAAATCGATTTTTACTCATTAATGGATTATTTTTCAAGCAAAAATCGATTTTACTATTTTAATGGATTATTTTTCAAGCAAAAATCGGTTTTTATGAATTAATAGATTATTTTAATTATATAAATCGATTTTTATAATTTAATTGGTTATTTTAAATGAAATAATCGATTTTCCTAAAGTCCAGATCCTGAAATATATGCTCTAAAATCATGTTTTTGATATCAATTAATTATGAACAATATGAATATGAGTTTGTACAAAAAAATGATGTTTTGGCATATAAAACATTATGTGATGCATGACGGTAAGTTCGGGTGTTAACACTCGAGACTAGACCGCTAATTGTTATTAAATGTTATGTTGAATGATCATTATGATGAATTATTATTATGACCAATTATGAATGATAAACCTACTGATTAGAATGATTATTGATGATTAAATCATGATTAAAAATGAATATAATGGTGATCATGAAAACGGTGTATATTATTATGGATATCTAGAAGAACTCTAAGATATACTCACTTGTATATTGATGATGATTATTAAAGATATCTAGAAGAACTCTAAGATATACCTACTTGACCAAATCATATTTCGGGTTAAAACGTACGTACGGGATCCAGACCGGATATCACCCACCCGACAAATTATTGTGCGGTTGGTACGTAATCCACAGACTCATAGGGTGGATTATCGATTTTTGTGTTCAGCATTAAACTATTTATAGTTTAAGGGTCTGGTTAGAATTATTGCCTTAGACTAGGAATAGCTAAGAGCTGAATATAAATAATGTGGCCTTAGATTAAAAATAATTTAAGAGTGTTATTGATATATTGAGTATCAAATGACTTGGAATAAAATATTGAGAATATTATGAATGTTTGAGTCATATATTGTGTGCATGATATCAAATGGTTGATTATGAATTGAGATTCAATTTATGTGGATGTTCGACGCTTTAGATATGCTTACTTAGCTTCACTGCTGAGCGTGTAGTATGTTTTATTTGCTACACGCAGGTAAACAAAATGAATGATTGGCATATTCCTGGAAGCAGAAGGGGTGAGACAGTCATGGTGGATTTATTGATAAAATAAATAATTATGTTTGTTATGAGACATGTTAAAAGTCGCTTCTGCATTATTATTAAACACTCCGTATTTTCTATAGTTATGTATGAAATTTTATTTATGATGAATGAAGTTATTTAAAATGTTTTAAATTATACGATTACCAAGTTAATACTTTAGTCCGAAAGGGGCTGCAGACCTGGACGGATTAGGGTGTTACAACAAGAATGTCTCACACTCTTAAATTTTATGTATGATAATTTTTTTATATATAATAAAAATACTACTCATTTTTTGGACCAAGAAAGTGGAATTCATATTTTCATACTCCCATATGTATTATTATTATTATTATTATTATTATTATTATTATTATTACTTCACCTTATATTTTTTCAATAATAATATTATTATTGTCATTAATACTCCACCTTAAAATACCATTGGTTTTTAAAACCAAGAAAGTGGAATTCATATTTCCATATTATTATTATTATTATTATTACCCCACCTTATATTTTCCCCAATAATAATATTATTATTTTTATTAACACCCAACCTTATATTTTCGCCCCATTGCTTTTTTTATATGTATATGAATTTTAAACATAAATTCATATTTATTTTAAACTTATTTATATTACTATTAGTATTATTACTATTACTATTACTATTATTATTATGACTATTATTATAATTCACGATTCCACATATTATACGTAGACAAAATTTCTATATGTTATACGCGCCCAAATATCCATATATAATAATAATATTATTATTATTATTAATACCCGACCTTAAAATACTACTAGTTTTTTATACCAAGAAAGTGGAATTCTTATTTCCATATTCAATAATACTAATAATAATAATATTATTATTATCATTAATACCCTACCTTATATTTTTAGCCAATTAACTTTTGTTTATATTTATATGAATTTTAAACTTATTATTATTATTATTCACATTTTCATATAGTATACGCACACAAAATTTCCTTATGTTATACGCACCATATATAATGAAAGCTTATGCCCCCTTTATATTTTCGCTAATAATATGATTAGTATCCAACCTCTTTTTTTACAGACACTCTTTTTTTTTAAATATTTATATGAATTTTAAACTGAAATTTATATCGATTTTAAACTTATTATTCTTAATCTTGTTTCCATATATAAGAAAAATAATACTTAATTTTTATACCAAGAAAGTGGCATTCATATTTCAATATTTCCATATTTAAAAATACTACTAATGATAATAATATTTTTGTCCCAATAATGAACCATATATAATAAACCGCTAAGTTTGGAATATGTGAATTATATGTTAAGAGTGACTCAATATTTTCATATAATGCACACAAATTAATGAATATAATGCACTCAATGTTTTCATATAATGCACAGAAATTAATAAACACACTCAATAATTCCATATATATTGCAAAGTCAACGAGCGGGAAAATTTGGTCAATATATTCCCTGCTTTTAAATAAAGTACTGATATTGATTCTGATAGAATAATCTCACTAGAACTAGAGTCATATTTGGTGCCCCGTAATAGTAATAATAATAATAATAATAATTGCAATCATATTTATTAATAAATATTTATTTTGGAACAACCTATAAGGAGAAAAAACGAAACTCTCCATCCTCGCTCCAATAGCCAAATCTCTCGCTGAAAAAGACTCCATAATGCACTCTCAAACTCATTCATTGTACACCGAAGATCTATCTTTCTTCAAAGACTATCTCTGTTTCAATACTTATGCACCAAGACGATCCTTCTAACTAATAATGAGCTTGCGAGAGATAATATAAATATTATAAAATACGACAAGAATCTTTTAACCCGAGCCAAATTGAACTTAAATGACCCTGGCATTTTGAGACACTACAGTGCTTAAATGACCTTAAACCAATCAAATTAGACAAACAAGATGCAACCTTACACATATGAAGTCCCAAACCCTATTTTATCTCATTCAAGACTAATTACGAGTATGTTCTCTTTGTATGATCTAAAATTAAAAATGATTGGATTTTTTAAGATATGATCTTAGTTATATTTAATGTTGATTCTAATTTGATTTATTCCGATATTCAAACCTGATTATGATATGAATAAGTAATGTTCCATATATAATGCTACGAAATAATAAGTTGTATAGAAGATGCTCTACTTCTTCGCCACGACTCATGTGCTATTGGTCACCAATGTCATATGACGAACCAAAGCTCCTACGACACTTCGTTTGAAAAATTGATGGTTCCTATCCCTCTGCACCCTACTAAATCCTCTCTGCCCCCTTGTTCTATAGCCAATCGGCCAAAGGGAGGAGGTGCAGGGGGCATGAGGGTTTTAGGGAAGGTTAGAGGTATGAACCATTATTTTTTTGAATGAGACACCAAGGTCACACGAACCACCCGCTCTAGGGAATGAATAAATACCCTAAACATAATTCCGTTTTTTAAATGACTAAATGAGTTAAGAAAAAACATCCAATATGAGTTCAACATACATTATACCAAACAAGTCGTGTCTCAATTCTAGTGTACTTCATCATTCGAAAAGGCCGACTAAGCATCATTGGCTTGGATAATCCAATATTGATTAGAGAGGTTCATCAAAGATTATTTTTAGCTTTCTCTAGTATTTGGCCCAAAAATACCCACTCATTCGCGACTTTTTTTAGGGGCATGCTAGAGGTACACCAAAATAGGGTACTTCATTTATACACGAGGTACAGACAAACACAAATACTTAGCATTTGTGATTTACAGACATGTAGTGTCTGTCTTTGTTGTATTCGTCTGGTGTACAAATGAAGTACCATATTTTGATGTACCCCAAAGTTTATTGTTTTTTAATCCAAAGACAAGCAATCTCCAATTAGGGGAAGATTATTACTTTGGCACTTCAATCAATTTCAGTTATAGGCTGGTTAAAAAAAACAAAAAAGGGTAATGTACAAAACCAAAAAAAGGAAATCAGTAATCGGCTATCTCGGGGAGTCGGAACAGAGGCGGCTCTACACGAAGCAGCAGCAGAAATAGGGCTAGGGAGACAGGTGCGTCAAAATCCCCTCTCCTCCCCGGCCACTTTCCACACGGTAGCTCCGCTATTGAGTTAGCTCGCTCTTAAGCTAGTCAGAGTCGGAATGCTAAAATTCTTTTATTGCGCGCTCATCGACCAGTGTTTTTGTTTAATAAGCTGATTATGCGATCAGATTTTGCTTTTTTTTTTTTAGGACTGTTGTCTCAAAAAACCAATGAAAATTTCGGATCGGGTGTTATAAATATGTAGGAGCCTGATGGTATGATCTGATTCAACAAGTAGGAATTTTTCTTATCGGATGAATACTGGAAACCGTACTTGTTCCACCATTTCCGCATCATAATCCACTTTCTGAAAGCTATTGATTCCACAAGACAAATTCCAGTTGATCGAAGTTCTTATGTGTCATTTTGTGCCACCTGATTTGGAATTATGAGCTGATAATGCTTTTTAATTTTGGTGAGAGGAGGAGATGATAACGTTAACACCCAGAGAAAATAAGAATATTTATTTCAGTAAAGTCGTGCTGAAAAGTCAGAAGCCCAATATTAGTGTTCTTTGCAGACAGTATTTAGGCTTTACTAGTATGATTGAGTGGTGTTAGGTGATAGGGATTTCAAAAAACCTTTTCCTTAGCATTCTAAGGAAAAAACTAGGGCCATAAAGCTGATAGTCAGAACTTATCAAATCAAGAATGAAGAGGAAAAGAGTTTCCCCCTAATTGATTCTTCATCTCTTATTTATATTCTTCATCTTTTGTTTTGGGGGGGGGGTGGAGAATGAAACTTAAATGATTGGGTATGTACTCCGTATTTAGTAGCATCTTTTTACGAATTCCAATTCCCTCATTTTGAATTTTTATGTGAAATGTAGCTTCAAGTCTGATTCAGTGGAAAGTTAGCAGTAATGATCTGATGAACATTTTTTGAATAAATCTGTAACTTGAGCAAATTGGGCCAGTACAATGGATACACAATCATCTAATGTATCAAATCCACATCCTCTGGAGACTGCTGTTGTGGAAACCTCCAATGTAAACTCTGCACCAGCACATGATGGACCTTCTAAGCTATCCACATGGGCTAAAAGTTTAAAAATTCCACAGCCATTTACAGGATCCCAAGAGGAAGATAATTCAGGAAATGTGGTAAAATCATCCTTTGCTCGTTTTACTAGTGGGTTTGGATTGCGTTCATCTCCAAAGTCACCAACAGATGATAATTCTGAAGGAACTTCAACGAATCCACAACCTGGATTTATTGGAACATTTACGAAAGGAATAGTTGACTCTTCCAAGAATGCAGTTAAGGCTGTATCTGTCAAGGCTAGACACGTTGTNATGGGCTAAAAGTTTAAAAATTCCACAGCCATTTACAGGATCCCAAGAGGAAGATAATTCAGGAAATGTGGTAAAATCATCCTTTGCTCGTTTTACTAGTGGGTTTGGATTGCGTTCATCTCCAAAGTCACCAACAGATGATAATTCTGAAGGAACTTCAACGAATCCACAACCTGGATTTATTGGAACATTTACGAAAGGAATAGTTGACTCTTCCAAGAATGCAGTTAAGGCTGTATCTGTCAAGGCTAGACACGTTGTGTCTCAGAACAAACGAAGATACCAGGTGAGTTGTGATTGTCTCATGTCATATTAATATCATCCTTTATTTAAATTGGACACATGAAACTGCTGTCCAGATCTGGAAAGTGTATGTTCATCTTGCGGTTTCCTTGTATGTCGTTTGCATGTTCATATATTATTTGTATTGAAATGGTACACACAAGACCATATTTTTACAACACGGTTTCTTTTCATAGGAAGGAGGGTTTGATTTAGATTTGACGTACATTACTGAGAATATAATTGCCATGGGCTTCCCTGCTGGTGATATGAGTTCCGGATTTTTTGGGTATGTTGAGGTGAGTAAACTGTGTTTCTCAACAGTTAGCAACAATGAACTGCTTTTGCATTGTTTAATTAGGAGTGTAGTACTAAATTTAAATGCTCTGGGATATAGGGATTCTATCGTAATCATATGGAAGAAGTGATCAAGTTCTTTGAGACTCATCATAAGGTACACTGATTTCAATTCTATCTTCTTTCTAGATATATATTTCTATTGTCATTGAGTGTTACCATCTGTTATTATATTATCTAGGTTATTTTTTTTCAATTTTTTCATTGCAACTGTTCATGGCCTCATGGGGATACTCGTATTGTTCTCTTTTACCACCATTTTGCAGGACAAATACAAAGTATATAATCTTTGTTCTGAGAGATTGTATGATGTCTCATTATTTGAGGGAAAGGTGAGTTATCAGTTCATTTTCAGGAACCTTTACTGCATCTTTTTTATAAACGGGAATGGGTGTCTCTGCTACATTGCTAATGCAGTATTATAATTTGCATGTCTTTTGATCCACCTCCAGGTTGCTAGTTTCCCATTTGACGACCACAACTGTCCACCTATTCAACTCATAATGTTGTTTTGTCAAAGTGCGTATTCATGGTTGAAAGAAGATATTGAAAATGTTGTGGTAGTTCACTGCAAGGCAGGAATGGCAAGGACTGGATTGATGATCTCAAGTCTTCTTCTGTATCTGAAGGTACATTATATTTTTGTTATACTGTTATGGTGTATACAATGATGGCAAATGGAAAATAATTAATGATGTGAAGTTGGAGGTTGTCAAGTGGTTGGACTTAGGGTTGTAAACGAACCAAATTGAATCAAATACCAAGCTATTTGAATTTGTATTTGTTTAATTCTTTCAAATATGAATTCAAATACGAACATGAAACAAATTTTAAATGATATTTGTATTTGTATATGTATTTGATTGATACTCAGATAATTAATGAATCTCAAATGAATATTCAATGGGTGGTAGTCAATTAGTCATGATTTAAATGATGACCAAGATCGATTTTGAACCCTTTAATTTACGGATTTTCGTATACTATTATATCTAAAAAATATTAATGCAATTGTGTCAAAGAAATATTATGTTTGACAAAATATAACTATTGAAAGTAATACAGAGTATATGTTAGATTTTTATATTACGCTAGTTTGACCAATGTTTAGTAATTTAGCTCGATGGAATAACACGGAAACCAATTTAGGTGCACAGGTGCACTGTATACTATATTGGTTTCTTTGAATACTCATTTCAAAGAAATTTCGTGTGTATATATATATATATATATATTTAAAGAGAGATTTTATTCAAAAAAGGAGAAAAGTACAGAAAGTGGGGGTGGCCGACCCCGACAAATGGCCAAAGAAAATGCCAAAATGCAAAAACAAAAGAAAACTCAAAACAGATCTTAAAAAAAGGGGAAGGGGACATGGCTACAAGTACAATTCTAAAATGTCTTCTTCCTCTTGACCCTAACTTTACAGCAACATCGGCTAGTGAAGAGGACGCAGCCCACTGTGATTGTCCTCCCGTAGCCAATGATCCAGCATTGAGAACCTTCAAGTGGCAGCCTCAAATCCCATACCTTAATTCCATAGGTTTCCTCCAAGAAACATTTAAAGCATATAACCAGTAAAACCACACCAAAGCCTAGAAGAGCCAATCCCTCAAAATTCTGGATTTTCCGTTCACCAAAGTCCAGGGTTACTAAACCTACCATCCTTTAAACTCATTGCAGGACTTTGTGACTACTGCCACACCCAAACACCAACAGTAGGGTTAAATTATTGCAAGAAACCCATCCTAAACAGCATTGCCAGAAATATAATAAACTAAGAGAACCAAAAAACACCCTAGAAAGGCTGAAAATAAAAAAAACTGAATGAAAGTGAAAACTATCCTTGGCCAAGATGTGTTCTGCATTCATTCTTGAACACCACACAGATGATTGAGCACTGCCTCCATATCCTCCTTCGCATAAGTGAGGAATACCGGATACTTCGCTCCTGAATTGTTGCTGCATCGATGAATTCAAAGCTCTTCATTGCTTCTCTAGAGACCCTGATGACTTCCCCAGAAACTGAGTATCTCACCCTTGTTTAGAGCTTGCAAAAGTCTTTTGTTTGCTACTGATCTCCGGAAAAGGTTAAGGTTGTCCCTAATGACTTGATTGAGTATCTTCAGACAATCCTGGTCGATTAGAGGCTCTGCATCTGGAGTGTGTTTCGGAGTACCTTCCAGTTCTTTATTCATTATAGAGTCAATAAGGAGCATATTTCCAGGTCCCTTCCTATCTTCATCAACCCTTTCAGAAGTGAGCACTCTACTGGAGCATCTCCATCCTTCGTCCTTGTCATTTTTGAGCTTCCCGCAATCTCCTTCATCACTGTATGGTAGTGGCAGATGGTCACTTGGAGTACATCTCCCTTCCGAGGACCGTAAGAGCTCAGCTAAACCCCTGCTAAAAAAATTTAATCCTTCTAAAGAGTAACCAGCCGGTATGAAAATCTGAGAGGGGGGGGGCTCCCCAGATTTGATGAGAGGCGAGCAAAGTGACCGAAGCTATTTGAATCCCAAAACTTTGAGGAAAAAATCACCATCATAACTGGTAATTTCCCAGTTTTCGTTTGAGTAATCCGGCCTACTTAGAACATCAATTAGCCAAGGGGCAAGAGTCTTAGTGATGGATAGATGGTGGATTTTACCTGATTTAAATTCGGAGATGATGATGCTGTGCCCTTCATACGATAGTTCGAAGTCTTTGCTTTCAATAGAGAGTGAAATCTGACCAGCTGCACTGATATTTGAGCCGGAGTTCCGTCTCCTCCAATATCGGCGCTCTTCAGATTTCTTCCAGAGGTGAGCTGATGGGCGAAGCTTGTGACTGTAATAGTGGGGTTCCTCATAGTACCACGATCGTGACCGGAGAGATGCCCTTCCCTTCCTCTTATCTTCAGCACGTTCGAGCTCTGCCCGGCAACCTATGTGATTGGATCGCCGCCAAGGGGCGGCGTTCCCCCTTCTCTCTACAACCCTATACATGATATATATGTGTGTATATATATATATATATATATATATATATATATTCATGCATCCATAGTTATATATTTGTATATACACACACAAATATGATCCGAATAGGATACTCTTGTATTTGTATTCATTTGGCATTTGAATCAAAACTCATAATTGAATTTGTATACATGTTTGAAATATTCGAATTTGAATTTGAATGTTCATATTATAATACGAATCACGAGTCAAACTAAAATTGTGTACTTTGTTTACAACCCTAGTTGGACTACAAGTATTTCTCCCTCCTTACTTAGATTCGATCCCTCCCCGAAACTCTCCCTCCCCAATAAACCCCCTGAATCAAACAAAAACAAATAGATAAATTATGAAGGGCAAGTGCAGTGATATCTCCACTCTTCCTTTGCTTGTGCTGGGCAGTTGGACTTTTGTTGTGAGTAAATTGTGCTTAACCTTATCTTCATGCAGTTCTTTCCAACAGCTGAGGAGTGTATTAACTCTTATAACCAGAAAAGATGCATTGATGGAAAAGGCCTTGTTCTTCCCAGTCAGATTGTACGTGAACAGAAAATTTTAAACTCTTTCAGCATCTATTTATTAAACTAGTTACCAATGGCGCTTTTTTATTTGGTGATAGAGGTATGTCAAGTATTTTGAACGTATCTTAATGTACTTCAATGGAGAGAACCAGCCTGCACGCAGGTAAATTTATCCATGTTCCAAGTTTAAATGCCTTGTCACATTCTTTTTTTCAGCTGTTGAAATCTTTATGGAAAGCATCCTCTAATGCAATACTGGTCATCTCCTGTAATCAGCAAAAAGTACATCAGGAGGCAGAATATAGGAAATTTTTTCTGTTGCAATCCACTGATTGCATCCAGTGCTTTGTTTGTTCTTGCTCAATGAGATTATTGCAGGTGCATGCTTAGGGGATTTCGACTCCATAGATGCCCCTTTTGGATAAGGCCCTCGATTACAGTCTCTGATCATAATGGTAAGATGAAATCTCTCTCTCTCTCTCTCTCTCTCTCTCTCTCTCTCTCTCTCCTCTCTCCCACACACACTACACCCTTTTAAGCTATAGGATGAAACATTTTATTGCTAGCAGTCCAATCATTCTATCACATCCTGTAATATCATTTACTCCGTATATGCTTATTGTATTATTTGAATGCTTGATTTAATAATAGAATGAAATGATTTATTTCTTTTCAGGTGTGCTTTTTTCATCAAAGAAACACCCAAGAACTAAGGATATGCTGGTGGGTCATGCAGTTTATATAATTCTCTGCTAAATAAATTATTAATCATTACCAGGCATTGTGCTATATGTTACATGAAAATTCGATGGCATTGAAAATAATGATCTTCAAGCTGACTGGGCTAAAGAACTTGTGATTGTAGTATTGGATTTTTTATTAATTAAAAATTGTACGTTCCATTTGGCAGCCTGAAGACTATTGGTTTAGTGCACCAAAGAAAGGGGTAGTGGTTTTTGCCCTACCTGGGGAGCCTGGCCTTACAGAGTTATCTGGGGATTTCAAAGTCCATTTTAATGATCGGCAGGGAGACTTTTACTGGTATATTTGTATCTCTACTTCTGAAGTTTAAGAATATCTTAGTGGTTTGAAGTTTAATGTTGGCCTATGACATATCGTATTTAGGTGAAATGTCATACCCCGCAAAGTGCACTTAACTGGTTAAGATGACATCATTTTGGATATATTAATAACAATTGAGATGTCATTTAGGTTTCCTATTAAGTAATAAGTATCTGTGCCTTTGTGATTCTTGAGCCAGAGGTCTTTTGGAAACAACCTCTCTACTTTCGAGCAGGGGTAAGGGGATGTGGGATGCTAATGGGTTGTTGTATTAAGTAATAAGTATAGATGAAATGTTGCATTTAATTTTTGTGTTTTTTTTTCTCTTTAAAACAGTATCAAATTTCTATTTAACATGCAGTTGTCATGTAAACTATTCCCTCCTTCGGAGTGTATTTGTCTAGTTGGGACCTATTTTAGTCAAACTAGATGAACTTTAAACATCAATTACCATTGCATATCAATTCAATGAAATAATTTTTCAAGGTATTTGGCAAGACAAGTCTTATGAAATCATTTTTATACTAATATGCATTGCAATTTTCATTTAATTGATGATCAAAGTTCATCCAGTTTCACTTGCAGTCACAGTGGACGAATATGCTGGAGCGGAGGAGGTCTAAAACTAATGCGTAGTATACATTTTAAGTCAAATGGTAGAAATAGTACCCATCCGTTCCATAAAAGAGTCATGTTTCTAAAAAAGCACCTCTTTAATTTTAGTAAGATACAACTTTTAAAAAGCATCAAATAAAGCTATATTTTAAAATAAATGTCATTTTAACTGAATTTTGACAAATTCAACTTGTTCTAGACTCATTTTTTTGGGGATAAAATAAGTCTTTAAACAAGGCTCCTGTTTTAGGATGGCGGGAGTACAAGTCACAATGGCTTTATAAGAAGACATTTATATAGAAACAAAAATTTTCAGGCCCCAATTGATCTCCACCCATGCCCGCCATAGTGCCTTTTAGAACATAGGTTACAGAGAAAGAGAAGACTGGGCAAAAAAATCATGCCGTAAATGGGAATCCTTTGAAATTTTGAGTCTGGGTATCACACTCTAATTGGGTTCTGTCTTTTTCCTCTCCATTCAGCTGGTTAAACACAACAATGATTGAGAACAGGAAAATCCTCAACACTAGCGATCTTGATGGTTTTGACAAGGTAACAGTAACACCATCTGTTACTGGATGATATATACGTCGTCACTAACAGTTTTATGGAGTATATATTCTTTATTTGCTTATTTGATGGAATATTTCTTCCAGAGAAAACTAGCATCACCTGGTTTCCAAGTGGAAGTTGTGCTAGCGGATTATGACACGGTTTTCCCAACTCGTTCTCAACCAGAAGCTGATGTTAGTAGTAAATCATCTGATACTTCAAGTGTCAATCCTTCCACTGGGCCGACCACTCCTAATGAGACAAACTCAAACAAACAATCAGTTGGAAGCAATGAGAAGGATGACGTGTTCTCTGATAATGAAGCTGAGGAAACTGGAAAGTCGAAAGACAGACAAGTCACCGTTGCTCCTGAAAACTCTTCTGGGAATAATAGCGGTAATAATAATAATAATAATAATAATAATAGTGGTACCGGTACACCTCAAATCTCCACTTCAATGCATAAGGTGGAACAAGTTTCACTGGGAGATTCGGGGCTCAAACATAATGACCAGAAGAAGGATGGTGTAGCTCCGGCCCCTGAAGCTTCTAATGCAGGAGTCAGTGATTTCAAGATCATGGCTGCGGATGCTTCTGTGTTTACATTTGGAGATGAAGAGGATTACGAAACTGAGTAGGGGCTTTCAAAATTTCCAGCTTGTACAAAATTTGTACATTATATTACCGTTTGAATCCATGCTATCCAGCTTGATATCTCTCTATATTCTTTAAAGTTAGAAAAAAGGAAAGAATATATATGAAATTGTGCTAATAGTTTTACTCGGTCTTCACTTGTGAAATTTGGAGATTTGTTCTTGTTAGAGATGTTCAGTGTGGAACATTTATGACATTATTATTCTCTTCGTCCCAATTTTAATTGTCTCTCTTTCGATTTACGATGTTTGATTGGAGTTATTTTCAAATCATTTTATATAAAAAAATGGTGTAGAATTAAAAAATTAAAATTACATATTTAAAAATTACTCCCTCCGTCCCAATTTATAGTGTCTGTTTCAGTTTACGATGTTTGACTGAAATTATTTTCAAATCATTTTATATCACAAATAGTATAAAATTAAAAAAATAAAAATTACATATTAAAATACTGCATCAGAAGATTTAGAAAACTAGTAGTGACAATAGTACTTTATTTTATCAAATTGCTAACAAAAATAGAGAAACAAAGTGAATGAAGTTTGACCATGTGAATAATGAACATGCATTATAATTTGGGGCGGAGGGAGTACATAAAAAATCTACAAAATTAGGAGTGACATAATTATATTATTTTATCAAATGACTAATGAATTTAGGGAAAAAAATTGAATAGAGTTTGACCCTATGAATAATAAACAAACATTTTGTTCTAGAAGTGGTGGAGCTTAGGTAGGTTTGAGCTCCACTTGGCTTGTTATCGCCATGTTTTCTTTACCAGATCTGAATAGTTTTGATCTGATTGAAATAAGTTTTGATGCGATATGGTCTGATTTGATCTGAATGTAGTTATATTTAAAGCTGTTTCTGGTTTAGTGTGCTTTAATCAGAATCGATTTCAATAAATAAAATAATAAGAATAAGTTGAATAGAATATGACCTAAGCCTGAGTTCATGATTACTTTTACACCTCAACATGTTACTTTCCATGTTTAAAAGGGATTAGGCGTCCAAAAGGAATGATTATAGTAATTAAGAAATTGTTTAGAACTTTTGAAGAGTGATTTAGGGTTACTTGGATTCCAAAATGGAAGTTTGAAAAAGTATCCCAACGGTTACAGTACCTCTTTCGATAGGTAGGTATCATTCCGGTAGCTGAGTACCGTCCCAACGGTAGGGGGTACCGCCATAATAATGTGATACCGTCTAGCGTTCGCTACCCTTTCGGTACCTGTCCCGGTACTGAGATTCTCAATACCGTTTCAAGGGTAAGAGGTACAACCACAGAAAGGAAACTCAAATGGCGTTCCTTGGTTGTCCGGTGTCTGGTCTAGTACCATGGCATCTTAATGGTATCAAGGCACTGTACAAACGGTAGGGGGTACCAGTTGTTTGTCATTTTTAACTCAAAACTTAAATTTTCATTCTTTTTAAAAAAATACCCCAATTAAGAACAATATTTAAAGTTTTAATAAATCAAGTGACTGTAAGGGCAAGTGTGATTACATCATAAATATGGAACACTTAATATATTTTTACCTATGCTCGTTGAGAGACTTTCTTGTTAAGGCGAAGCAATTTACGTGAGGTTTGGCACTTGTTTTTGACCTCCAAGAGTATTAGTAACTTAGAAGACTTATTTGGCACATCAAAATTCGTATGAGGTTTGGCATTAAAGTCCAACAATCTTCCCCTTTTTGATGTTGACAAATAACATTTTCAAACATATAATCAAATGCAATATATCGCTCCCCTTGATTTCGTGCTTCCTAATGATTCAAGATGTTTCATAACTCCCCTTAAAACGAACACGCACAGATATATATATATATATATATATATATATATATATATATATATATATATATATATATATATATATATATATATATATATATATATATATATATATATATATATATATATATATATATATATATATATATATATATATATATATATATATATATATATATATATATATATATATAAA